CATTAACACAAAGATAATTAAACTAAGCAATTGCATATTAGCCCTTAAAGTGTAAATATAAAAGTAGGGTTGTTCATTAAATGGTTCAGACCGATGAAACCGACCAAACCAGCCCGACCTGACCTGACCTGTTTTGGTTTAGTTAATTATAAACTAATTTGAACTAACTATTTATACTATTACTACATATCCCAGAAAAATCATAGCTTTTACATTATTCTATTTTGGGATAATAGCATATAAGGTAACTTTTGGGCCCTAATATTAGTAAAAGTAATATTTTTAAAAAATTTTCAAAAATAGGGTAACTTTTGAAAAATAATATCAATAAAGGGCAGAGTCACTGTTCATCTTCTTCCTCTTGTAGTCTATTCACCAGTGCCGCCGCCCGCCATCTTTCGCCTCCGCCTCCGCCTCCGACAGCGTTGCCAGAGGTGGGCGGAGGTGGTGGCATTGGGCAAAGAAATAACCACCAGTGCCGCCACCGTTGCCCACCTCTGGAAACATTGCCGGAAGCAGAGGCGGAGGTGGGCGGAGGCATTGTCGGAGGCAGCGGCGGCGCTGATGAATAGACCGCAAGAGGAAGAATATGAACAGTGATTCTGCCCTTTATTGATATTATTTTTCAAAAGTTACCCTATTTTTGATTTTTTTTAAATATTACTTTTACTTATATTAGGGCCCAAAATTTGCCCTTATATGCTATTATCCCTTATATTTTTCATTATGAGTTTTTTTTTTGTTTTTTATTTGACTTTTTCAGCCACTTGGCACTAGCACCTAATCCTTTGTCTCTCTCCTAGGGGCTAGACCTATAGATTCACGTACGATGACCTCACTCTAGCTTTCGGTTTGTATTTCATTACTCAGATCGGGAGTCATTTACACTTAGAATATTTGTTGTACAAGGAATTACTCAGAAAAGTTTGTATTTCATTAATGAAAAGTGTAAGTACAGAGATTTCATTGTAACTCGAGCTCGGTGGCCTCGAGGTGTACATCCAAAACACAGAAAGAAGAAAAAGCCAGAATCGCTCCTGAGGACTGTCAGTCGGGTCGGTCTTAATATGCTCTTCCACGTCTTCGACTTCGTCGTCGCTTTCCTCCTCTGATGAGTTGGGCTCTTCGTTCGCCGCCTCCACCACCTCGGGGGTAAGGCCCAACATAGAGACGATTCCGAGATCAAGATCGGGGAACTTCTACCACACCAAGTACCTGTACAGATTGAAACCAGAACGATAGGAGATCAATCCATATTCGACTTGGAGATTGTGGAACTCTGAGGATTCCTTGAAGCGTTCGATGGCATGGCTTCTCTCTTCAGCTCGCACCTCTTAGATGGGGGTCTCGAAGATCTTAGTTCGCTCCTGGATCGTCGCTTCGAGATTCTCGATCTCTTGTTGAAGCTTTGCCTTCTCCTCGGTCAATGTTGAGATTTGCTCCTGTTGCTTCATTTTTTTCTCGATCAATGCGAAGATTAGTCCCTGTTGCTTCTCCTTCTCCTCAGTCATGGCCAAGATCAGCTTCTGCTGGCTTCAAGCTCCATTCTTGGCCCGAAGTATCTCACCCCGAGCTAGGTCCAATTCGCGATGAAGCTACTGTGCCTTTTCCTCGGCATCCCGAGCCTGCTTCAGATGGATCTCGGACTGACACATTAACGAATGAATGGCGGAGTTCACCTAGAAAATAAAACCGAGGTAAGTACATTTGAAATTGACAAAGAAATAAAATGTAAAGTAAGATACTTACCACCATGCAATAACTGACAACTTGGCTTCCGAGCATGGCCGTAGAGATGTCAACCCACTCCGCGACCTCGTCAGGAAAGACGGCATCCCTGCTCTTGTGCATTCCGACCTGAAGAGTCATTATGCTCTCCTTGGAGGACTTGGGCCTCGGTGCAGAAGCGCTCTATGGCCTGGGAGGTTGGACGCTTTTCCTACTCGGGTACAGAAGTGCTCCCCGGTTCTGACGCTGAGCATCCTCCTCCTAGTCGTCATCCAGGTCCACCACGGGGGTTGAGGACGGACCTCTTCCTCAGGGAGATCAGCAGAGATCGGCTCCACGGCAAGAACTTCGGATGGAGCAAGGGCTAAAGGACCGGCCTTCCGGCGAGGCTTCTTCGAAGCCTTCCTCTTCTTCCCTCTCTTAACACTTTTGAGAAGGTCCTTAGCATTGACCTCCGACATGGTAACTGTAAGAGCAAAAGGTTAGCCACGAATTAAAGAAAACCTTAAAGTAAAAAAAGAAAGGTGGAAACCTACCAGGAGGGCTCAGACCAGCTCGCACAAGCTTCTCCTCAAGCCAAGAAATCTTTCATCTCGAGGCCGAGGTCCCTCCACAAGTTGATAACTGCCCTAGTTTTTGCATCTAAGCTCACCCCGAGATCCTTGATAGCCACCCTCTAGTGAGTTGGAAAAGACCACCCTTCAGGATTTCAGACAGTAAAGTACCTCCTCTTCCAGGTTGGAACCCTATTCGGGCAGCCAAACAGGATTTTGAACCCAGGCTGAGGTGAGATGTAATAGCTTTGTCTGACGTCCCCGCGCAGACAAGCAAAATTTTGCTTGATTGCACAGATCGAGCTGAAGGTATCTAGGGACAGAGGCCGATTATATGTGTGGAACAAGGAGATAGTACCAACTATATTCCTAATAGAGTTCGGGTGTAGTTGGTCGATGGTAATGTTAAAAAACTTGACTACCTCTGATGAAAGGGTGAAGCGGGACGCGCAGCCCGGCCGCGAGGTGCTCCTCAAAGACCGCGAGCTCATGAGCCTAAGGATACTAACCTAGAGGAAGACTCAAGACTAAGCTATCGGGAAGACGATAGCGAGCTACTAGGTACATTAGCCTATCCGATGTCAGAGTAGAAGGACCGAAGTCATCTGGATCCCGACCACGAGAAGAAGACGGGGCTTTCGTTCTAGAGGATGGACACTCCTCCCGAACCTCAGTCTCCCCGAGCTGAGATGGCTCAACTTCGGGAATGAAAGTTTCCTCTAAAGACTGAAGAGGGGAGTCACCCAGCGGTGAGCTAACCTCCCCAGCAGAGGCCGCGGATTGCACCATGACACTCTCAACCTCACTAGAGCTACCTAAAAGCCTGTCTACGCTAAAACTAGACATGATTAAAAAGCAAATGAGAAACAAACGAAGGAAAACACAAACTCACCAAAAAGAAGGACGACCTCGGAACACAAAGAGAAAGAGAGTTGAAAGACTCCGACCCGACCTCGGGAAAGCTCAATCACAGAATTTGTGATGAGAAAAATGAGTCACGGACCCCCTATTTATAGCCGCTATGTCCGAGAACTAACGGTCGAGATCAAAGCAATCCAACGTCTCCTAGGAAAACCGGTTGTGCGACCCCCGAGGATAAAATCAGTTTAGCGCGTTTTTTGACGTCCGCGGAGTTTATAGATCGTGTGACGTCCGCGCGTAGGCCAGACACGACCTGGGTTTTCCTAGTTGAGTCGGGTAGCCGATCAAGTTTGACCCGTGATTCATCTAGCTAGTTGCTTGGACTTCGGACCAAATCCACTTGGTTCGTCATGAACTCCCCGCATCGGGCCAGGACCCCTGGCTCGGGGAGTGGGGGCAATTGATGTAGGGTGATTTGGCCCAACCTAGTCATAGGGGGACACATGGACACAACCTAACTAGCAGGGTGACAGCTCAGTCGACACACCAAGCCTACAACGAATCGAGCTCGGATAACTAAACCACCTCGGGACAAGTTCACCTCAGGGCACGATTGCATTAGGACCACCTCGGTCCAAGGCACTTCGGCATTCGTACCAGGTCGGATCCAAAGGGCACTAGCTCGGGTAATATTGACCGACCAAAGCATGGCAACCCCGAAGATCTCTCCACCAGATTTCACGCCTTACGAGATCATGCCTCATAGCAGCTAGCATTATCTCCCCCGTCCGATTTGGGCGGAAGTGATGAATCTTATCAGTTGACAGCGTTATCCCCAATTAACACGGAAAACGGACCTCATCGTAACGAGGATCCCGGAACCACTCCGCGAAACCCACGAAGGCTCCACCCCCCGGGGGTGAAAGGTACGCGTAATCTCTGCTCACTAACTCTCTTGCATTCTAAGCTATTATCAGCTCACAACCAACTACTAACTTAAGCATCGGAGCGACCTCGCCGGGTAAGCAACCCCAAGTTCTCTGATTCGCTTTTTGTAGATCAACTGAGTTCGTCGTCTATTGGAAGCCAGATCACCTCCAGCTGGGAGCATTCGGATTGTGCAACATCAATATGTACCTTGATTTTTCGTCTGTATCCATGCATATCCAAAACATATCCCCATACATCTTTTAAAATTGACTTTCTTTAAACCTTGCATCTAATGCATTTTAAATGCATTATTGGTAGGGATGCCAATGGGTCGGGTTTGGCACGAGTTTACCTCAACCCTAACCTAACCCTCCAGCACCCCAACCCGAGCCTGACTCGAACTGGCTTAAAAACACATCATTCTCGAACCCGACCCAACCATATAGGGTTTAACTCAATTCCAACCCGACTTGACCTGTATAATTTCAAATGTATTTTAACACATTTTGAAGACCTAAAATACATTAATTTAAGTATGGCAATTGTTTTATAAATTCTAAGGTGTTATTTTTTCCACTTAAAAAATAAAAAAAAATCAAAAGCAACATATAAATAAATTATAAACTTTAATCCTATAAAGTTAGAATTGAAAAATTTGTAAGAATACTTGGTATATATGCGGATATCATGACCTAATGGGATGAATTAGCCAAAACCCAAACCTAATTCGAGTAAAAAATTCAAAACCCTAACTCGACCCTAAACCAAATATAGTTGAACCTAACCCAACCGGGTTTACCATTTAACCCGACCTATTGACATCTCTAAATATTCGTGCAACAGTCCTGGAGTATTCGGATTTGGTTAGCGTGTCATTTCTTGGTCCACCCAAATTTATCCCTCAGGCCTCAACCATGAGAGCGTGCTCTCCACAAGTTTGCCTCACTCTCCCAGCAAAAAAGTGTTCACACACTCGAACGCACCTACCCACCCATCCACCAACCTTCTCTCTCATTGCAAACAACAGTTCAGAAGAACACAGATCTGATCTGGGGATTAGAAACATAGAGGTAGAATGGCGTTCATCTTAAACATGGCCGGCGCTCGATTCTCGTACAGCCCATCGCCGGTGGATGGATTGGCAACGCATTATTGTCGGCACGGTGATGGAATTGGACGCGGAGGAAGCGTTAAGCCGATTTTCTCTCCGGCGCCTTTGTACACGAGTTCCAGGCGTAGTATGGTTGTTAGAGCAGAAGCAATAAATCCAGAAATCAGAAAAAGCGAAGAGAAGGTGGTCGACTCCGTCATCGTCTCCGAGCTATCCAAGCCCCTCACCGCCTACTGCAGGTAATATCTACAAGAATATTCTGCTAATTAAGTGTAAGGATTGTGAACATGTGCGATTGATAGTAGTTATATCGGCAGGTGTTGGAGATCGGGAACTTTCCCTCTGTGCGACGGGAGTCATGTGAAACATAATAAAGCCACTGGGGACAATGTTGGCCCTCTGCTCTTGAAGAAGCAATAGGTACAATAGTACTGATGGTGAATTAATAATGGAAAATTCTGCTTCTGAAACTGTGAACTGTCTTCGTCTTTTACCTTTCTCTCTCAATTAAGGAATTTCCATGTGGCTTCTGTTTGAGATTGGGATTAGTTGATGAATTGTTCAGGCTTTGCTAAATTGGATCAATTGATTTAGTAATCTATTAGCTATTGAGCAAAACTACTTCTTTCCATGTAAAAGGGGTGAAAATATAATTGAAATTTTAACAGATTGAAAAACTTTTACAGGAGCAACAATTGTTAATTTTAATTTCAAAGGGTTACCAAACCAAAATACGAGTAAGAGGAAAACAAGGTAGAAGAATCCTCCATGATGAGTCCGAATCCTTAGCCTTGGGTTTCATTTGCACTTGCATCCAGGAAACGGGAGGGAAAAACCTTGTTTTACTTGCAGAGATTCAAATCAAATACGGGATATCAATGGAATTCAAATTGCAATCGATTTAATAAATTAATTAAAAATGATCAGGATATCTTATAATATTAATAAAATGAATTTGATATTGTATATCGTGAATAAAATAATGAACTTTATGAAACTTGAACCAGTGACTCTTTTGATCAAAATACATCATTCGAAATACTAAGTGTATATATCGAACTAAAAGGGGTGAATCCATACTCAATCCAATTACGAAGGAATTGCATTCCGATCAATTTAACTGGATCAAATTTGAATTTAGATATTCCCTGAAACCAAATACATGTTCTTGAATTCCTTGGTTTTAAAACATGTTTTTATCTGATTATTTCCATAAAACATGTAATTTCTATACTATAAAACTTGTTTTTGTTTTATAAACCATTATTTTGATGATTCCAAAATTATTATTATTTTTTTAAATAAAACCAACTTATTTTTTCCTTTGAAAACAAAAACAGAATTGAAGAGCATGTTTTTATTTTTTTGCTGCTGTGGCAATTCCAAAAGCAAATGAAAACAAAAAGATTCATGTTCTAGAATGCCCCCTATATGTTGTTAAGGCTGCATTTGTTTGCAATACAAAACATTAAACCCAGGTGTAAATACTCCAGTTTGGATTTGTGAGTGTTTATTTGTCATACAAAAGTAAAATGATAAGAGGGGGAAATGTTCTCTCATATTGAGGAGAGTGCATTACTGTATCCATTCAATGAATACAAACTTATACTCTTTGGATCTCAACACAAGTAGGCTGAGAGAGAGAGACCACCATACAACTCTTTACATTGATTTTAAACAAACAAAAAGAGAACAAAATGGGTTTACAACAGTGAACCATTTTGCATTCATTAACCGAAGAAAATGTATTAATGTAAAGTGCATATTTGCGTTTGTATCACAAACAAACACAGCCTAAACTTCTGTTTCATTGTATCAGGGACTTAAAGGCAATACAATCCAGCATTTTTTTTGTTTATTTTATGTTATTTGGAATTCAAAATAAATAAGTTTCAATTTGTTCTTGCACTGCTACTTCTTATTTTTGTCTCACTCCTCCCTCCCAACAAACACATACACATAATACCTTTCTCCCTCTCATTGTGAAGTTGAGGAATTTGGTTCCTCGACTTCCTTCAATTCAGTCAAATTTGAATTCGACATCATGAAGGTCCCAACAACTGGTCCAACAGCCTTTGCAATGATGCATTGGGAACATCTCCCTCCTCCTCTATGAGAGTTATTCCCAATGCACAGCTGCAATGGCTGTTGGGACCCTTGTTGGCATCACATCCCGTCCCACCTGATTGCTTTTGGTGAATTTGAATTTGATTTAAAGTACAAGAAAGAAGATTATAACTTGAATATTAAACCAAATTGAATTATTTTTAAAATAGCATTCTAGTTCGAAATATGACCCGATTCAATTCAAATTCACCTGTTTTACATCCCTAACTCTTGGAATAGTTTATAAGGCCAAAGCTTACTATTACATATCTTATCTTGATGTAACTTTGGTGAATCCGGATCTATTATACATGGTGTCTTGCACCGGTGGAACACCAGCGGAGAACTGCACACCTGAAACACACAATACAAATACTAACATTGACCTTTTTCTCAAATTTGTTAATTAAATTAGCAACTAGAATCTCAGAATAAAGGGGATCACAGATTTCTACATTTGATGTATAAAATATACCAAGTCAAACAAATTCTGATTTAATTTATTTTATTTGGAAAAGTTTAAACTCTATGGCACCAAAGTATAAACATTATGAAAAATCGCCTTCGGCATTTAGTTCAACTTTACCATTGTTGCATCACGATTTTATATTCTAGTCTAGAGGAGACGACACATACCTCGCATCCACATCCAAAATCTAGCCCAAACTCTCATATGCCTCACCTTGATACATTCAAGACAAAAGGTCAAGCATATTACCTGTATTGTTCCTCTCAAGTGGTGTTGTGTCGCTGGTCTGACAGTGCTCAGGCATACTTAGGATAGGTCTGATTAGCAGCCAGAATTGGGATGGTCTATTCACATAGTCTGTTTGATCTAGATAGAAATTAAAATGGAAATTAGAATCAGATGAAATGAGATTTTTTTCACAAGGGAGGGGGAGGGAATGACCATTCCCTCAAATGGGGGAATGTCATTCCACCAAGAATGGGTATGGTATGGAATTCTAATTTCGCCCAACCAAACAGTTGGAATCGGAATTGATCATTCCAATTTCGAATCCAGACCCCTATTCCTGCAAATCGGAGGAAGAAGAAACCCACTCTTTCAAATTGAACCCCCCCCCCCCCCCCCCCCCGTGAATTTCCCCTATGATCATCATTCCAATGGTAAAAACGGGAGTAGGTACAAGGATTCCCTAAGGCTGTATTTGATTTGAAGGAAAAAGTAGGGAAAGGCAAGCCTATGCAATTCGGTCAATGGAATGGTTCGCAGATGGCTTTAGCATCCAGAGATGATTTGTTGAAGCTTTAAAGATTAACCTACTTCCACAAAGTTAGGATCATAACATTTTTACATCACTGATCTTTTTACTGGCAAGAAATTAAAAGGGACTTAACTATGCTATTTTACTCTCCAAATCAGGATCTTCACGTTAAGTTCATGCAGTGTATCTCCATCTGTACATGGCTCAGTTTGAAAAGAATAAAAATACAAATATATACAAAATAACATTAAAATACAAGGTTTTGCACTTTTCATATTTACATTTATACTCCTTACAAAGATAGCCTTAAATTCAGAGGATTTGAAATTGTACAAGGTCCTTTTGAGTTCATTCAGTTTATTAATATGTTGTGTTTTCACTTGCCAATATGATTATTGAATCAAGCTAGCCTTGACAAATCCAATCAGCTAAAGTATAAGGCTAATAAATAAAGATATGCTCATAAATAAACTAAAATACCATTATAATACTATCAGTACTGCTCCACCCTACCTATAAAGATGCACTAATTAAAACTACAACCATCTAATTGAATTTACAACACTCATATATGATCTTTGACACTAAGCTGGCATATATATTTGTATTTACACTCTTTCCAAATCGAGTCTAATTGCATTTATCATGTCATCAACATCATGCGAGCCTTTCATTCATCCTAAGCATCGTCCTCATGTTCATCATCATTAATCGAGTCACACCGAGCAAAGTAGTCACACTTTCTTTACTTGGAACTACCTACATATGATAAAACGTGAATGGAATTTAAAATTATGATGTTGATTTCTTAACTTTTTATCTTAGGTAATAGGGTTGAATTCTTTACTTTGAAATCATTATGTTTTTAATGAGCACTAAAAAAACCAACGAGCACTAATAAATCAAAACATATATTTGAAAGACCTTGTAATGGTACCCCATACTGTAGGGTGTGTATTAAAAAATCCGATTTTGGATTTGAGATTCGATATAATCGAATCGAATTTGAATATGATTTAACTTGATTTGATTTGATAAATATCCAGATTTGACCAATTATTTAATTATTATATATAATATATAATATATAAAATATTTAAATGTTTTATATAATTTATATATAATAATTAAATTATATATTTATATATTTTATATAAATAAAATATTTATTAATTACCTAAAATAATTAATTGGTCAAATTCAAATCGAATCGAATATTTGAATATTTAATCGAATTCAAATTTGAATATTTATTTTCAATATCCATCAGATATCAAATTGAATTCGGATATTACCTGATTCGATTCAAATTCGATCCATTTTAGGGTTGTCAATGGTCCGGGTTTGATTCAGGACAGGGAAGAATCATTCCGAACCAACTGCTAAAACCGATAGTACCGGAACTGAATTAGACTCGATCGATTCTATTATTTCACAACCGGTATAAAACCAACGGGCCAGTCGAAACAATTGGGTCTAACCCGATTGGACCCGATTCAATAAAAATCCATACTTAAGATGGTAAGAACTGTAGTTGTTGATAAAATATTCTATATTAATTAATTAATTAATTAATATTACTAATGAATACAACAGAAAAAAATGACTTACTTGATGCTAATTTGATAAGAAAATAACATTTTTTTCAATAACTTGTTATCAGTACGATATTTGTAAAAAAACACTTGTTATACTTATATAATCTTGCTAAAAATCAATTTGTAAATAGCCTACAATCCTATATAATTCCAGTTTAACCTTACTAAAAACAAAATAATAGCAATTAAATTGAAGCTAATGGGAAAAAACTAAGAAAACATGCATATATCAGTGATCTTGAAATCAAACTGCCTCCTCATTCAAGAATTGAAATATCCATCAATTAAGTTAGAGTCCACTTACTAGTTGTCCATTTATCTGGTACTCCCAATCTGAGGTTCACATGGGTGGTTAAACTGTGATAAGCTTTTTTTATTCTACCCCATCTTCTCTTTTTCTTTGTCCATGGTAGAGCCTGGTGTATAGGAGGCGATGGTGACTGAGAATCGGTGAGACGTGGAGACGACGATGAGAACCTTTCTCAAAGAAAGAAAAAGCGAATAGTAGAACTTTAGAAGCTAAAGCCTCAAGCAGCAAAAGCAAAACGAAAGGGTAAAGGCCAAAAGGTTTTGAACTCAAGGGTTTTAGATGTTAAAAGTAAAATTACAATTTTAGGCATACCTATAACTCTAAAACATGTATATATAATTGGTTCGGGACAGTCAAAGCTGATCCCAAACCGATATTAATGGGACACATAAAATAAAATCAGAACCGATCTGTCAGAATAAATCATAGAACCATAACCGATAAATACAATTCGGATGGTTCGGGTCAATCAGGTAGGCCTAACCCATTGACAGTCCTAATCCGTTTACACCCCTACTAGACTGTCATTCTTAACCCTTGTAATGGTACCCCATACTAGGTTGTCGATCTTAACCCATACCCTCGTCAGCTTGGCTTGGTACCCCGTACTAGACTTTCAAGGTTACTACCCCTTCCCTTGTCGGAACACATGTACCATCTTTTGCCAATCTTTTTTTCTTTTCTATTTTCTTAATATCACTTGCCAACCTGATTATGCCCCGTTTGGTTTGCAGGAATATGGGTCTAGAATTAAAGCCGGAATAGGCTATTCCGATTTCAACTGTTTGGTTGGGTGGAATCGGAATACCATTCCCATTCCTACTAGAATTGTATTCTCTCACTTGAGAGAATGACCATTCTCTGCCCCTCTCTTAGGAACGAAATCTCATTCCTGTTAATTTTAATTCTCATTCACATTTCTATCTGAACCAAACAAACTATTGGAGTAGGCCATTCCGAATGATTCTGATTCCAGTTTCAATTGCAAACCAAACATGACCTAAGTATATTTTTCGTAAAACAATAGCAAGTTATTGTTAATAAAATGGATTTGTTAACTTTTCAATGGTGATCAGAACTTATTGGAATCGGAATGGGTTATTCCAAATCCAACTATTTGGTTGGACGGAATCAGAATCCCATTCTCATTCCTGCTGGAATGGCATTCCCTCATTTGAGGGAATGACCATTCCTTGCTCCTCACTTGGGAATGAAATCCCATCATTGCTGATTTCAATTCCCATTCCCATTTTTGTATGAACCAAACAAACTATGGGAATAGGGCATTCCGATTCCGATTCAAATTCCAAACCAAATAGACCCTTAAACATTTTTAGGGTTCATTTGGTTCATAATTGGAATCCGAATCTCTTGAAATCGAAATCAGAATGGTCTACTCTCATAGTCTGTTTGGTTCAGACAGGAACTAGAATGGAAAATAGAGTTAACTAGAATAGGATTTCATTCCCAAGGGAGAGGGAGGAAATGACCATCCCCTCAAATATGGAAATGTCATTCCATCGGGAATGGAAATGGGATTCCAATTCCGTCCAGCCAAACTGTTGGAATCAGAATGGCTCATTCCAATTGTGATTCCAGACCCATTCTCATAAGCCAAACAGGCCCTTAATTGTGATGAGAATTCCCTAATGATCATATGTGGCCTAAACTTAAGCAACCCGAAACTTATGATAAATATTGGGATGAGAATTCCACCCCTAAAAAGTTTACGTGAATAACCAATATCCATGAATTTAATCCCATTTTTTTTTTAAGTTTAAAATCTTTTTTGACTTTTTTTCCTTACAAAACCATCACCATCTCAAAAGGTCCTCAAATGGCCCCTTAGTGTCTATCTATATAAAATACTTGAAATATCGGTGCCATGGAACTTTAGGAATGACACATAACATTTTCCAAATTTAGAATTGCCATGGAACTTTACGTTGAAGAACACCCCCTCTCACACATGATTGGCATAACTCTAGGAACTTTAGGATAGTCAAATAAACAAATTTTGACTATCCTTTAAGAACTTTAGGATTGCCAAAGTGGAAGCCAGTCTCAACCCATTCTTACATTATTTCCATGGAGGACAATTACAACCAAATAGGTGGTTCAACTGTCATACCAAAGAATCAAAGAATGGTGAGGATCCCAAGTTTTTTACCACCAAGCTTAGTAATCTACAACATGGTATATATATAGTAGTGATAAACCAGGTTTAGATACTTAAATGTGACTAGAATATCAAAGGGTTTTGAAGGGTAACTAAGCTGGATAGAGGGTTTTATAGGGTTAAACACTTCTACCTTATGATGAAAATTAATGTAGAACGATGGGTTAAACACCTCAAACTTAGGGTTAAACAACATTATTTTCTAATATAGAGGGGTTTAAAGGTTTAAACACCCATATACCTTAGGATGGGAAATGCGTTAAACAACCATTTTTCTGATACAAAAGAAACATAGCCTAGGATTGGTATGTAGAATAAGGGGTTTAGGCTCAAACACTTACCAAATTTTTAATGCAGAAGAAATGTAGTCTTTCTGGTTTGCCATTGATTTAGAAGCCCTTATCACAACCTTCAGCCCAAGATCACATAAATATGTACGTGTGTGAGGGCCTGAGGGGGGGGGGTTGTTTTGTCGACCCCTCAAGCAGAGACTATTGGCGGTTTGAAATGAAGATGGGTTAGGCTGCATTAGGCATTCATTCTGTTAATATAAAAACTCAGTATTCATAAGAGTATTTTATTTTAATATAAAAAAGAAGTTAAATCCTTAAAATAAGGAATGCCAAATGCAACCTGATTCGATCTAGGCATCATATAAATAAGAGAGGGGGTGTAGGTGCAAATGCATTGGATCCTGATCCTGATCTGATCCTATTTGGTCAAATTCAGATCACTTTGATTTGGATCTTTGGATCGGATAATAGTATCTGATCAGAAATCGGAACATCACTCCCTTATCCGATTTGAGAAGATTCGATCCGATATATGTTATATATTTATTTATAAATATATTATTTATATTGTATTTTTATAAATTTGTCATATTATTTATTTTTTATAAAAAACATGTATATATATATATATGATGGAAATAATTAAAAATACTTGTATTTTTTGTTTTTTTTTTTTATATTTAAATTGGTATGTTTTATTTTTATTTTAATAATTTATTAGTTTTTAAAGAAAACAAGTCAGATCGGATCAGATCCGAAGATCTGACTTATATATAGGATTCAAATTCAGATTAAGGCCTATCAGATCCGATCGGATCGGATTCGCCATGAACAATGTCATATCAGATTTGGATATACCCTTATTCGAATATGATCAAATCCGTTTGCATCCCTATGCAACGATGACAAAAAGTGTAAAAGCTAAATACTTTTTCTAAGGTATTATGTTCAATGTAAAATTTAGGGTTCATTTGGTTCATAGTGGAATTGGAACCAAAATACATTGGAATTGGAATTAGAATGGTCTATTCGTATATTTTGTTTGGTTCGGATAATAATGAAAACGAGAATTTAAATCAACATGAATGGGATTTCATTCCCAAAGAAAGGGGAGGGAATGACCATTCCCTCAAAAGGGGAATGCCATTCCACCAGGAATGGGAATGGGATTTCGATTTTGCCCAACCAAACTGTTGGAATTGGAATAACCTATTCCATTCCGGTTCCAATTCCAGACCTTATTCCCGCGAACCAAATAGGCCATAGTGTTTTATTATTTTTATTAAAGGGCAATCTTGGCATTTAAAAATGTTGGGATGATAACATCAACTTTCGTTAACATTTTAATGTCTAGTTAATAGGAAGGGGTGTAGATACAAGGATGTTGAAAAAACAAGGGATATAGTGCAATTAGCATAAAATAAGGTACTGAACTACAACTTTTAGAATATTTAGCAATTTATATAAACAAGTAAGATCAAATCAGATCCAAAGATTCGACTTATAGATAGGATTCAAATTCAGATTGAGCCTATTAGATCCAATCGGATCGGATTTGCCATGAACAATGTTGAAATGGATTTGAACATACCTTGTTCGAATCCGATCAAATCCATTTGCATCCCTATGCAACCATGTCAAAAAGTGTAAAAGCTAAATACTTTTTCTGAGGTATTATGTTCAATGTAAAATTTAGGGCTCATTTGGTTCATAGTGGAATTAGAATCAAAATTATTTGGAATTGGAATTAGAATGGTCTGTTTGGTTCAGATAAGAATGAAAATGAGAATTGTAATCAACATGAATGGGATTTCATTCCCAAGGGAGGGGGAGGGAATGACCATTTACTCAAAAGGAGAATGCCATTCCACCAAGAATGGGAATGAGAATTTGATTCTGCCCAATCAAACAGTTGGAATCGGAATAACCCATTCCTGTTCCAATTCCAGACTTTATTCCCGCAAACCAAACGGGCCATAGTGTTTTACTGTTGTCATTAAAGGGCAATCTTGGCATCTAAAAATGTTGGGATGATAAATTCAGCAACTTCCGTTAACCTTTTAATGTCGAGTTAACAGGAAGGGGTGTAGATACAAGGATGTTGAAAAAGCAGGGGATATAGTGAAATTAGCATAAAATAAGGTACTGAACTTCAACTTTCAAAATATTTAGCAATTTATAAAAAGGTAAGAAAATTTCATAAAGTTGGCGTCGCCCGGACTCGAACCGGAGACCTTCAGTGTGTTAGACTGACGTGATAACCAACTACACCACGACACCCTGATGTCATTGATATGCTAGGTTTATTTACTTGAAATATTGAAATATTACGACAACAAAAGGTTCCACAGTCCTATAAAACCCAAACCCTAACACTTCCCGCTCCCTCTTTCTCTCCTGCAACTGCGCCATTCTGGACATACCCTCTATAGCAGGAGAGTTGTTTCTGTTCTTGTGACTTTAAACTCTATTATTCGTCATGCCTTCACTTGCAATTGCAGAATCGTTCTTCTCCGAAGAACCAAAAGACAAGAAACAGAAGAAGAAAGAGAAGATGGCAACGAAGAACGCTACCCTCCTCGAAAACCCAAATTCCAAATCAATCGAGAAGAAAAAAAGCAAGGAGAAAACTCATAAGAAGATCAATTCAAATCCACCCGACTCCGAAGAAGAAGAATTGAACAGTGACGATTCACAACAGAGCTGGTTGGAGAAGAAGAAACACAAGAAAAAAAGCAGCGAACAGAAGGATAAAAAGAAGAAGAGAAAGGCTGTTGAAGTAGCGGATGGGGAGGAGGAGAAGAGCGAGACCAGCTCTGAACTGGTCGAACCGTTGGGTTCGAAGCCTGTGGCAGTCAATGGTTCCTCAAAGAAGAAGCCTAGACTGGTTGAGAACACCGACGATGAGGGAGGGGAGGCAGATGCTGACGGAAAAGCAAACCCTAACGCGGTTTCAAATTTCAGAATTTCCAAGGCTTTGAGGGAGCAGTTGAAGTCAAAAGGGATCGAATCCCTCTTCCCTATCCAGGCCATGACATTCGATACCATTGTTGATGGTTCTGATATGGTCGGTCGGGCTCGCACTGGTCAGGTAAGCTAATCATTTCAAACCTTTGTGCTTTTCTAGGTAGAAACTTATAAAAGGTGTTAATTTCAACTGCCTAAATAAAACCTCCCAATATTGTTACTATCTTCCCAAAACGCAATATGTCGGATGGTTGAGATCATTATATGATGACTATAAGGCTATGCGCAATCTCATTCAATTAAAAGAGACATTCCTTGGAATAATTTCTGTGAATGTGACATTTGGATTTATAATTAGTAGTTACAATTTCCTTGAGACATGAGAAAATTTGCAGCTTTCTGCATCATTTTAATACCTTAAACCGTTTTTCTTGAGCGAACTGCACTTCCAGGTTCCCAATTTTAATCCGCACGCTCATACGTGAAGCTGAATCTTGTAATAGATTAGTCCTGGCTTGATGCGATGCTCTAATTTATTATGCTATATTGATTATTCATCAATTAATCTATTCATGTTTTATTTTTGTCTTGCACTGAAGATAATAGTTTCTCTGAATTTGATTTTGGAACTATTATAGGGCAAAACCCTGGCATTTGTTCTTCCCATATTAGAGTCTTTAACAAATGGACCTACAAAAGCATCAAGGAAGACAGGATATGGAAGGGCACCGAGTGTCCTGGTTCTTCTGCCAACAAGGGAGTTGGCCAAACAGGTACCACCATTACTATGCTTGGAAGGGTTGTGATAATCTGGGAAAATGGCATATTTCTTTATGTGCTTGACCTGCCTTCTGATTTCAGGTCCATGAAGATTTCGAAGTTTATGGTGGGGCAGTGGGATTAACTTCATGCTGCTTATACGGGGGAGCTCCTTATCAATCTCAAGAGATTAAACTGAGAAGAGGGGTTGATATAGTTATTGGAACTCCTGGGCGTGTCAAGGTATTTTATTTATCTAGTGTCAAAAAGGTTTTGTTAAGGCTATTTAAGGCATAACTCACAAGCTTTTTTGTTTATTTAGTTGTCCTACATTCTAACCTCCACAAACTTATTGTGTAGGATCATATAGAGAGGGGAAATATTGACTTAACTGAATTAAAATTTCGTGTCCTTGATGAGGCTGATGAGATGCTGAGGATGGGTTTTGTTGAAGATGTTGAACTTATTCTAGGTACATTTTTTGCCATATTAACAATTGCAATTCCTATGTGGTTTTCTTCCAGCACAAGTTGTATAATGTTCTACATATTCATGATTAAAATCTAGCATGATGTGGTTTCAGTAGCAATCTAGCATGATTCTGTTTAAGTTGCTTTGCTATGGAACAAATTTCCATGTCCTTATTTTCTTTTCCTTGGGCATACGATTGTCTGGAGTCACAGATTAACTCAACTATCTTTCTCACTTTCCAAATCTCTGGCATTGACTCCTATATTCAGCATTAACTTTGTACTTAAAGCATTCATGTTCATGCATTAATGCCTATATATAAGGCTATTATTCAGATTCAAAGTTGTCTAATTGACTTCCTCAAATGCCATTAAATCCTGCTAATTACTATAACCCATGTTTTTTTGGTATAAAACTATAAGTAAGAAGATTTAAACGTTGGTCTTTAGGTTGAAAAACAACAGATCCACCACTATACCATGCTTTAATTACTTGTCAAAAGTAACTATGCCTTGTCCTTTCGAAAAGCTATCATTGAACTTCAGAAATCTGCCGCAGCACTTGCCAATGTCCTTAAATGTTAAAATGCTTTAGGAAAGCAGTGGAATGCCTTCCACTCTGATCCACACTGGACATTTTCTTCTGCCTGCAAATATCCCTTCAACCGCTGGGAACCACCAATCCAACCTCAAGTCAAACTCTCTTCTCTTCAAATTTTTTGTTTCCAAAATCCACTCTGCATACTGTCAATTTTGTAACATGAATAGAAGAAGTCCTTGTTCAACTTTCTTACTCCCATTACCTTCTTCTTCCCCCATTCCATCACTGCTCGTGCTTCTATTTTCTCCACTTCCATTTCCTTTCCCACAACTCTGCCTACCAGGCGCACATGCAGTACTCTTATTCTTTCCACCACCTTCCCTACCCTCCTAGCATCAACGACGCCTCCTTCACATCTCTGAGAGATAAGCTCCTAATCACTGCCATCTCAATACCTCATACACACTTGCTATCGTTTACTATATAAATATACAATAGTATGCTTATCTGAATCATATGCATCACAGAAATATTTATCTATTGGTTTAAATGCTTTTTGTATAATATAATTGGATGTTTTATGTGTGTTTAATCTATTTAACAGTATAAATAATAACAGACGACAAGGAGGCACTTTACAAGTTAAGAAAATATTTGAGTAATGTCATGTTTTCTTCTATGTTCTTTATATTTTCTTAAGCTAAATAAATGGTTGGGGGAAAAATAAACTGGTTCCTAGCATATTTGGTGGACCATGTGCAGCATTGGATTTTGAGGGGGTGGGAGGACTGGGGCGTTAAGTCCATATTGGCAATCTGTTTATGAGCTTCACTGCATTGGGTAAAGAAAGCTCATTATGATCTAAATTACTATCTATCTTAAAAGGCCTCAAATGAGATTATTCTTCAGAATAGAATGGATCAGTGACAAAGGGTACTGCCAAGTGGTGATTATTTGGATATTATTAGCAGAAAAAGGTCCTTGTTTCATATGACCTTTGTAAACAATGGCTCCTTTGCTTTAATGAAGAGAGGCAAAGGAAGAGGCTCTGGTTTCCCTTCTGAAAATCTTGTTAGCATAGATTCCTATCCTAGATTAGAAAACGCCTTGACTGGTTCTTTGGTTGGGGGAAGGGTATGGAGGCCAGACCTTGTTTTGTGGGCTCCAGTCGCAGGCGTTAGATAGGAATCCTGAGTATTTTCTTTGCTTTGGTCTTTTTTTTGGCCTATAAATAAAAAACTGTTTAACCAGCTTCCGTTTTGCTGTGCTGCTATTAGGAAATCCTTTTAAGAGGGGTTCTCTCTCTATATGGTTTATGAAAAATTTACTGCTCATTATTGACTAAAATATTGACTACCTTGGTGAAGCTTTGGTGTCAAATAGCTAGAAAATGGTGTGATTAATTTCATTTCAGAATGATGATATTGCATCAGTATTAGGGAACCATTGAGAAGGGTTAACCATCCCAACCTTGGACATTGCAGGGAATGTGAAGGATGCAAGCAAAGTTCAGACACTTCTTTTCAGTGCTACATTGCCTGATTGGGTGAAGCAGGTTCGTCCCTAAACCACTCTGTTAGATTTGCTTTTATGATATGTATTTGAAGTTTATATTTCCCTAAACATTCTCTAAAGAGAGGGAAAGAAAGGCTGTCTGATTCCTGTTTTATTAATTGCCAGATTGCTTCCAGATTTCTAAAGCCAGATAAGAAAACAGCAGATCTTGTTGGCAATGAAAAAATGAAGGCTAGTGCCAATGTTAGACATATAGTTCTCCCCTGTTCTGGTTCTGCCAGATCTCAGGTTATTCCAGATATTATTCGCTGTTATAGCAGGTCTGTTTATTTCTAATGTGCTGATCACAATCTTCTTTATTATTCTCTAGTATGTCTTGTAACTTGAGTTTTCTCTTATCTACTGATTCAGTGGGGGTCGCACAATTATTTTCACTGAGACAAAGGATTCTGCTTCTGAACTTGCTGGGTTACTTCCGGGAGCAAGAGCTTTGCATGGGGACATACAACAGTCCCAACGTGAGGTAAGTTACTTATCATCATCATCATCATCATCTCATCCAGGCCTTCCCCCAAGTAATAACTATATAGGGTCAGTACATGGCTCCTATTTTTCCAGTCCATTTTGTTTAATCCCATAACTATATAGGGTCAGTATATTCCTTTGCCCTTCTAGCCCCTTCAACTTGAGGTAAGTTACTTCTGATGGAAAAATATGCTGACCTTTCAATCTTCAAAATATATCCAGTTGATTCACCAAAAAATAACTTAAGGTAATCAGTATCTGTTTTTATAGAACTGTCTAGTTTCCATTCTAACATCCCATTCAGCTTTCTGATCAAAGATGTTGGACTACCCTGTTATGATTTCCTTTTTTTATTGTTCAAAAAATTATTTACTCTTGGGTTTTGATGATCTCTTGTAGGTCACACTTTCTGGTTTCAGATCTGGGAAGTTTATGATATTAGTAGCCACAAATGTTGCAGCACGTGGTTTAGATATCAATGATGTACAGTTGATCATTCAGGTTGGCATATCTTCTCTTTTCTATATTTTGTTGGATCAGTGTTTTAAAAGGCGTGGGAGGTGTACGCCTGGAGGCGTGCTTCCAGGCAAGGCGCTCCCAAAACGCCCTGAGGCGTATGTCAGAGGTGCTGACCTCTGAGGCATATGCCTCAGGTGCAAGAGGCGTACGCCTCATGCGCTTTTTTCATGAGGTGTGCGCCTTATGCACCTCATGCGCATCTTATATAAAAAGACAGAAAAAAAGAAAGAAAAAAAAGGAAAGGAATGGATAAGAAAGGGAAGGGAAAGAAAAAGAAAGAGAAGAAAAAAGACAAAATGAAAGAAAAGAAAAGGAAAGGGAAGGGAAGAAAAGATAAGGGGAAAGAAAGTGGTTTGCCCCTTTCTCCTTCGGCTGGGGGGCTTTGCCCCCCAGACCCCCCCTCCCTTTCAACAAATGTTATGCATCTTTGTTCTTAATATAAAATATTTTTATTAAAAATAAAGAAAAAATGAGATCCCCCCTTCCTCTTCATCCTCCTCCTAACCTTCCTCTTAAGGAGGCTTATGCCTCATTGTGTTTGGGAGGCTTACACCTGTTGCGTTCTGAACTATGCCTCACGCCTCTAGGTAGTGGAATGCCTTGTGTATGCCTCCGTGTTTTAAAACATTGTGTTGGATTACATTTATCTCAGTTATCTTTACTGATTATGATTTTTCCAGTGTGAGCCCCCTCGAGATGTAGAAGCATATATCCATCGATCTGGTCGCACAGGGAGAGCAGGTAATTTCCCTGTCATTTTTAATGTTCACTTTGGGTTTTGGGCTTTGGATTTTTATGAGCTGTTGACATGTTGGTCATGGACTTCTATAGGAAATACCGGGGTTGCTGTTATGCTTTATGATCCTAGGAGGTCAAACATTTCTAAGATAGAGAGAGAATCAGGGGTGAAATTTGAGCACATTTCTGCTCCCCAGCCAGCTGATGTTGCCAAGGCTGCTGGTTTAGAAGCAGCTGAAACAATTGCTCGAGTCTCGGATAGGTATTTCTTCATCTTGTATGTTATCTTCAATATGTTTTTGTTAATTCCGTCTCTACATATTGAATATCTTGTTGTATAGTGTAATTCCTGCATTCAAGTCGGCAGCAGAGGAACTTCTGAGTACATCTGGTCTCTCAGCAGCAGAATTACTTGCAAAAGCACTTGCTAAGGCAGCTGTATGTCATTGTATTTCCTCCAGTTTTCAATTATTAATTCTGTTGGTTGAGATACTGATCTGACCACTTTACACAGGGTTATACTGAAATAAAGAGTAGGTCACTTCTTACATCTATGGAGAACTATGCTACTGTACTTCTTGAGACTGGACAAACCTTCTACTCACCATCGTGAGTTTTTGAAATTTTACCCTTTAATATTCATGTTGCATTTCTTAGTTTTTACGTATTCTATTCTGATACTATTATTAGAATAAATTTCACAAACATCCATTCAGGTTTGCAAGAAATTTGAAAATCTCCCATTGTGTTTCTTATATAACTATAATTCACTGAAGAATGAGGTACTCCTTTCTTCAGGATCCATTCTTTTAGGCACAGATTTTTATCACTCTTAGCTGACAAATAACATCAATTGCCATTTAAGATGCATATCTCAAGTGCACCCTGGCAGGGGTATTTTTAAGAACACATTTGTGAAAACACATTTAATGGTCTTGTCATTCAAAAGCTTCTTAAGAGAAGATTGAGTGATGTGAACATCTATGTCATTAGAAAGGTCATTCATAGACCCTTTCAGACAGAGGCCCATAAAATTTATCCCTTGTGGATACTCAGATGATTGGTTTCACTCTTTAACTAGGACCAACCAATTAGTGGGCCATACCTGTGATAGTAGGATTTCAGGGTAATTCAATGTTTGGAACCATTGGATTGGCAATATTTTTGTGACCATTGGATTTCTTTTGACGAGTTAAACTTCACAGTATGCCAAAGTCAAGACATAAGCGATAGTTAATATCTGAGCTAATCTATCTATTGCCATATAGCTTATTTATGTTATTGCAAGAATGTGCTCAAGTATGTAAGAATGCTCAAGTATGGTGTGGTCTTAAATACTGTTGCAATTACAACTAGAGAAAAGAAACTATCCTGTGTTTCTTGTACTTACTGGCTGCTAAAAAATTGCCGAATTATGTGCTGATTCTATACCTTTTGAATTTTGTATCAGGTTTGCTTATAGTGTCTTGAGGAGGTTCTTACCTGAGGAAAAGGTTGAGACAGTGAAGGGGCTTACCCTTACAGCTGATGGGAATGGTGCAGTGTTTGATGTGCCATCTGAAGATTTGGACACATTTATTGCAGGTATATTTTCTTATTAAGATCAATGAAGAATATTTGCTAAAGTTAACCCAAAACTGTTGGTCGTTTATTTTATGTTCCTTTCATGGCAGTTAAAGTCTGGGTATTAACAGTGTTGGTTTAAGGTATTAAATTTTTGGTAAAATGGTTGAGCACTTCTAACTACAAGCATGGGTGAAATTAGCTCTTTTCTGGATTTTACCTCAGTTTGGCTCGACGATTAGAGTCTTGTCCTTGGTTTACCTTCACCATTTTATATTGGTTCCTTTTATGTGCTAGAATGCTTGATCCTTAATTATTGTTTGATAGTTGGTACCACACTTAACAGTGACGAACATATTTCTTGCAGGTCAAGAAAGTGCAGCAAATGTGAGCATTGAGGTGGTGAAAGCATTGCCACGCTTACAAGAAAGAGACCTGTCAAGAGGACGATTTGGTGGTGGTGGTGGTGGTTTCTCTGATAGGAGAAGTGGTGGTGGAAGATTTTCTGGTGGAAGAGGAGGAGTCAGCAGGGGAAATGGTAGATTTTCCAATGGTTTCAATGGTCGCAGAGGAGCTAGCAATGGAAACAAGTGGGGGAGAAGGAGCTAGGTTGGAAACCGGCAATAAGTGGGAACGTTAACAGGTGCTGTCAGAGATTTCAAAGGAACATTAGAAACTGATTTGCGTTAAGGTAGCTAGGTTACAGGAACAGGAGAGAGTAAGACCGCAATTGGAAACTGTTCATTCAGGTCAGTCGGGCCCATATTCAAGTTGAAAATCATTCTGATGAAATTTATTACAGTATAGTCTGTTCTTTAAAGTTTTGGTCGTATCCTATTTTTACCAGGATTTTTTTCCTCATCCTGGTTCTTTTCTTCCAATTCTATTAGAAGTTTGCCTTTTTTGTACTGTAGGACCAATCACCTGGTGTTCTGATTGGTTAACTCTTCAGGTACTGTAAGACTTGATTTACAAAAAAATTGTCAAGTTTGTTAAGTTCACAAAATTAGTAGTGTTGTTTGAAAAGGTAATGTCATGTCAGGGTATATAAAATCGCCACAAAAAGAGTGAAATGACTCTCCTTTGTATTGTTTACTTCTCAAGGATAGAGGGCTTAAGGGTGTCGTACCTGCACTGTCCCATGTCGAATCCGGATCACCCCGATGCGATAGTAGGAGATAATAGGATCCAATCATAAATAGGATTGGATTCGATTTGATATATAATATATATAATACATATATGTTATATATTTATTTATAAATATATTATTTATATTGTATTTTTATTTAATTTGTTATATTATTTATTTTCTATATATATATATATATGATGAAAATAATTAAAAAATATTTATATTTTTTGTTTTATTTAAATTGGTATATTTTTTTTCCTTTAACAATTTATTAATTTTTCAAGAAAACAAATCAGATTGGAACAGATCTGAATATCCGACTTACTGATTGGATTTGAATTCAGATCCAGGCCTATCAAATCTTGGATTGGATTAGATATGCAATGAACAGTATTGGATCTGATTCAGATATACCTTGATTCGTGATCTGATCTGTTTGCATCCTTGGAAAGTTGGCCGTAGGGGTGTCAATTGGACTGGATTTGGTCCAATCCTCTCCAGTGCAATGAATATTTTGGACTATTTTGGACTGGTCCAGAGATTGTTCAATCTGTTCAAATTTCTGTTAATTTAGATTGATTTTAACTCAAACCTGGTCCATTGACAATTATGTCCTTATCTTTTATCAATGGACCAGATATTGGCTCAATCCAATATAAATTCATTATGGATGGATCAGGTCCAATCCAATATGTTATATTGGTCTGTCCAGTTCGTCCAAATTCAATGTTTTATTGGTCCATCCAATCTGTCCAAATGGATTTTGATTTGGACGGAGTCCAACCCAAAACCGGTCCATTGACACCCCTATATGTGGGTTTTATGGAAAACTTATTTTCCCTGGGGATCATTTATATGAGTATGTGTACCCTATCTCCTAAATAAGTTACTAACATTTTGATGAAACAAAATTTTTAATAATGGTTTTTCATGGCTAAAATGGTTATTATCTTATTTATTTAAAAAATAAAAAATGTATAAATGTATTTACTAGGGAAGTATTTAATTATTCTTTTTAATAATGATTTTTCATAACTAAAATAATTATTATCTTGTTTACATAGTAAATAAAAGATATAAATGCATTTACTCGGACTAGGTAATTTTCTGAAAATGGAGTGTGCCAAAACTAAAGCGACACCTACTTCGTAGACAGCATAACTTCATGGTCCATCACTACATCTTTCATCATCATCATCCAGCACCATGGGTATTATCATGATGACATGATCTACTTCCCTCTGTTTCGTTCCCGTCTTGATGCATCTCCCATGGACACCATGCCTATCCATGACTGCAACTTGTATCAATTTGCAATTGGATTTGCCGAATTGAATCGAGGTTCGAATTAGGGATGAAAAATATGAAATCAAACTTTCGGTTGGGTAAAAGATGAGGTCTTGGGCAATATATGGCCCAACCCTAACTTGACCTGTCATCATATTTGTATGCATTTATATCATATGAATACTCAAGTATGTATATGTGAAACTATTCATTTGAAATGTATGCATTTATAATTTTATATACGACAATTTTAAATTACTCAAAACTAGTGAGATGTTTTCTAAAAAAACAAAACGCATAAACTTTTTAGTAGGACATAAATATAATACTCCTGAAATACCATAATTTTGTCATTTTCTATATATTGTAATAATAGTTGTGACTTAAATCTTGACTTACTAACCTTAAATCCAAGAAAAAGAATAAGATTTAGCAAAAGAAGGAAATCAGACCAACCTGAACAGCTGTAACTCAATTGGAAGACTAGGTTTGTAAATCCGATTGGATGTATATACATTTAAGGCCCCATTTGCTTTTTAGTAAGTTACTTACCCTGGTAAATGTATTTACCTAGGTAAGTGTTTCTTATCCAGAAAATATTTATCCAGGTAAGTGTATTTACCCATATTCTTCTATTTTCCATGTAAATAAGGCAAAGACCATTTTAGTCATAAAAATTCATTATTATAAGGGGTATTTTTGTCCCATTCAAGTGTTGTCAGCTTTCCCCCAAGGTGGGAAAGTTATTTACCCAGGTAAGAGATGGGTATTACTTATCCGGGTAAGTGATACCCAGGAAAATAAACTTTCCCTGGTCCCACATAAATCTGAAAAAAGAACATGAGATTCTTGGTCAATGGGAATCAAAATACCATTGATCAACTTTCCCCCCTCTCAAAATCCAGAAAAAGAATGCCTCCTAAGTTCAATTTGATAATGAAAACCTCCCAATGGAATTCCATTTGAACTCCGATTGGATGCATGAAAAATCAATCTAAGTTCAAGTTCAACCGGAAGCATCTGATTTTGGATTTGACATGAGTTTGAAAATATAATAAAAAAAAGGTAAAATATAAAATCCTCCCTTGAAGTTTCATTTTAACAAAAACCTCTGCTGTAGTTTTGAAAAATCTTGCGGTTAACTCTCTTCCATCATTGTTTGAGTTCATTATTAAGAAAAATATATTGTTGTCTCCAAAACAGAAACTTTAAAGTAATAAAATTGCCCTTATTATTTGTTAGGAAATCTTTTAATATAATCAAAATGCCAGATTTATTCTTTTAGATTTCACTCAATCATATTGAATTTATAAAACTAAATTACTTTACTCTTTAATTTGATCTAGGGATTTTTTTTTAATAAAAAACTAAAAGTTTTTTTTTGGAGTATTTTAGTTAGGGATGGTAATTTCTACCCTATTCGGTGGGTACCCACTCCCTACCTCTTCTCAATGGGGCAGGTTTTTTTTTTGCTTGAAGAACGGGTTTTGGGATTTTACAACCTATACGGGTATGAGTAAGGTATGATATTAGGCTAAACCTGACCTTCCCCAATCCGCATATTGAAAGCATATAAACTTTATGTATTAGGTCTTGAATTTAATAATATTTTGAATTTTACATGAAGGATAATTGATAGTTTATGTGATTTTACATGCCTTAATCAAATAATTGGAAATTTTGTTGTTTATTTATGTTATTTTACTTATTTATTGCTTAAATATAACAAGAAATAATAGAAAATTAGATGTGGGTTCTAAACCCAACTCACTCCTACCCTTGAATGCAGGGGAGGGTTTTGCATTTTCATGTATAGGGAAGGTTTGATTCTCAAAATCCAAGGCAATATAGGTTTTAGAGTGGGTTTGGTTTGGGAGGTGAATAGGATCTAGAATTTATAAAACTCTTTTCGAATCCGCCCCATTCTCATCCCTAATTTTAGTAAATCTCTATCTAAATTGATAGACATAAGGGTAAAATGGGTATTTTCAAAAAAAAATAATACATTAGACCAACGTTTTTTTGGAAGAATGACTATTCAGTCCACCCTAGAATTCTTAGCCCCACCCTAGAATGACTATTCATGACCATAATGCAGTTTATAGGGAGCTACTAATAGACTAGGGAGGGCTGTAATTTTAGATTTTTGCCGTGGAGTGATGTATACTTTGCAAGGATAATAATGGAAGAGGCAATTGCAGCTCTATGCATCTACATTAAAAATAGGGAAAATTCCCGATTAATACCCTGTATTTTGGGCCCAGTGCCACTTTGGTCCCCAAACTTTAAAATGCGACAATTCAATACCCAAGCTTTTAAAACGTGACATGCCGTTAACTAGTTAAGTGACATTTGAAAAAGACACAAATGCCCTTCAAGTGTTATTTAATTTTCTTTATCAACCATCTAAACGTTGACAACAAATTAACAGTCCCAAATCTTTGCCTTTTCCATTCAAGAAAGTTGGGGTCACGTTTGAGTGGGCATTCTGGTGACCCCAACTTTCTTGAATAGTAGAGGCAAAGATTTGAAACTGTTAATTTTTTGTCATTGTTTAGTTGGTTGATAAAGAAAATTAGATAACACTCAAAGGGCATTTATGTCTTTTTCAAATGCCACTTAACGGCTGGTTAACAACTAATTAACAAATACTGAATTGTCATGTTTTTAAAGTTCAATCACTGAATTGTCGCATTTTAAAGTTTGAAGACCAAAATGACATTAGGCCCAAAGTACAGGTATTAATAAGGATTTTTCCCTTGAAAATATCAATGGGTTTTTATGGTTCAGTCCACTCCTAGGTAGAGTTAAGATTTTTTAGGATGAATTGAATCTACCCGTGATGCTAAATTCATGGGCAGAGCATGGTTTATAGAAGGGCTACTAGTAGAATAGGAGGGGGCTGCAAATCAGAATTCTAAGGTAGAGTGTAGGCTAAAAATCCCAAATATTATCAAAACATTGAAGTACGGGGATATTCCCCATTCACCACTACGTGAGTACCGTTTGTGAGGGTTTAATCCGGTTTCACAGCAAACGAGCAAACTCCTACAGGATGAAAAATCTGTAACGTTTAATGTGAAGGAAGTTTGTGTCTTTTCACGTGGTGGTGCTTTGGCAATTACGACACGTTTACACGTTAGAAGATTTTTGACATACCGGTAAAACCCACACCCACCGGCCACCTCCACTGGAGCAGAGCAGCGCCGGATGGTTGAAGCGTCATGGCTCAATCTCAGGAACGCATTGGCTCGCTTACTCGACGAATGCAAGAACATGAAAGAGCTGAAACAAATCCATTCCCACATTATAACATCTCCCGGTATACCCATACACGACCATTACTTCCTTGTCACTCGACTCCTCTTCTTCTGCGCCACCTCCCATTCGGGCTCTCTCAGTTACGCCACCAACGTTTTTCACCACATCGAACACCCCAATGTTTTCGTTTACAACACCATGATCAGAGCCCATGCCACTAGGATGATCAATGATGGCAGCGATGCCCATTCATGCCCGTCCCTTATTCTCTACAAACAAATGTTCAGGAATGGCGTCCGGCCTGACCACCTCACGTTCCCGTTCCTTGCAAAGGAATGCACGCGACGTCTCGATGCGCACGCGGGCAAAAGCATACACGTCCAGGTCATCAAGGTTGGGTTGTCCGAGGATTTGTTTGTTCAGAACTCCATGATCAACATGTATGCCTCATGTGGGTTCTTAAACCATGCACGATGTATATTCGATGAAATGTCTGCACGAGATGTCGTTTCATGGAATTCGATGATTATTGGGTTTTTAAGGGGTGGGGATCTTGACTCCGCATTTGATCTGTTCAAGATGATGAAGAAGAGAAATGTCATTACTTGGAACTCGATCATTACAGGGTTTGTTCAAGGCGGTCGACCAAAGGAGGCCTTGGATTTCTTCCATGAGATGCAGGTTTTGGATGATGATGGTACGGTTAGACCAGACAAAATAACTGTAGCTAGCGCTCTTTCGGCTTGTGCGTCGTTTGGTGCACTCGATCATGGGAAATGGATACACAGTTACTTAAAGAGAAGCGGGTTGGAGTGCGATATGGTGATTAGTAGTGCCCTTGTGGATATGTACGGGAAATGCGGTTGTGTGGAGAGGGCGATTGAAGTCTTCAAGGAGATGCCTGAAAAGGATGTCCTGGCATGGACTACCATGATTTCTGTATTAGCTCTTCATGGGTTTGCAGAAGAAGCATTTGATCTTTTCAAAGAAATGCAAATCCAAGGAACGAAGCCTAACCATGTGACGTTTGTCGGGCTTTTATCTGCTAGTGCTCATTCTGGTCTGGTAGAGGCTGGCCGCTGGTGTTTTGATGTGATGACGCAAGTTTACTCGATAGAACCACAGGCTCAACACTACGCCTGCATGGTTGATATACTTTCTCGAGCTGGGTTGTTTGAAGAGGCAGAAGGGCTTATTCAAAGCATGCCGATGGAGCCGGATGTGTTTGTTTGGGGTGCATTGCTTGGAGGCTGTCATATGCATGGTAATGTAGAGATGGCAGAAAGCGTTGCACACCATCTTTTTGATTTGGAGCCTCTGAACCATGCTTTTTATGTAACCTTGTCCGAGATATACGCCAAGGCTAATAGGTTTGATGATGAGAAGAGAATTAGAGCCTTTATGAAAGAAAGAGGGATCAAGAAGACAGTGCCTGGTTGTAGTATGATTGAAGTCAATGGCATAGTTCAAGAGTTCTCAGTGGGAGGGTCGCCCCAAGTTTTGATGGAAGAGATTGAATGGGTTCTTAATGGTCTCTGTGAGGAGATGAAGATGGGAGACCACCCTCCAGATATTAACAGTGGAGACTGAGACTGAGAGTACTTGCAAAGAGTAAGGAATACTTCCCCAACTTCTTGGGGCAAATTCTTTTATATTATCTGCCCAAAAATATACCTCAGAAGAAGCAAGATATAGGTATGTCAACCGAAATGTATAGTCAATAGACATTCAAAATCACTGAAATATATCGGTAATCGATTCCCAGCTAAAAAGCCTTAAGAAAAATATGAGGCCTCAAAATTTTCAATTTTTTTTTTTTTTTTTTATCACCTTGATTCAATATGCAACCGTAAAATACCAAACAATAAAGGGCAAGATGTACCATTAAGGATATCTCTTTAAACTGTAAATTCCTCTATTGTTAGGTCTGAAATGATTCTCTTATATATGCAGGTGGCAGGGGGAAATCATGGTTTTAAAAACTGGACCAGAAACGGAACCGTTTCGGCCACTGGTTCCCGGTGTTCGGGTCATGGATGAGTTGGCCGAAGATGCCATGTGGCATCCTCCATGGCCATCCTCTCTCTTAAGCCACGACGACAACACGTATGATGGAAGAGCACGACTAAGAAGGAGTGTTCTGCATGGACAATGAAGCGGATTCCGTCGGTGAAAAGGAAACCTCTCGGAGACTTTGGTGGACGACCTCATCCCAACAACCCCGGAAGCCTTATCCATCTGGAACATGGACATCCAACTATAAATAGGTATTCCTCGCTTGAGGTAAGGGACTTTTTGGAACGGCACTCTGAGTACCCCTTTGCATTATTTCTTCGGCCCGAACTAGCATTGTTCTTACTTGCTCGGTTCGGCCACCTCTTCTGCCCAATTGACTTGAGTGTCGGAGTACCTACCTGGGGATTAATTCCTCGGGCCTCTGACCTTTCTCCTGGTTGCAGATCTCAATGTGTGGCTTCGTTCTTTCACCTCGGCTTCGTCCAGTTGGCAAGATTATTTGATTGTCTTTAGTTCACAACACCTTGGATTGAATGGTATCAGATTGGTCAAATGGTTTGACCATCCAATAATTCTTACCTGCTCGGTTCGGCCACCTCTTATGCCCAATTAACTTGAGCGTCGGAGTACCTACTTGGGGATTAACTCCTCGGGCCTCTGACCTTTCTCCTGGTTGCAGATCTCAGTGCATGGTTTCGTCCTTTCACCTCGGCTTTGTCCAGTTGGCAAGATTATTTGATTGTGTCTTTAGTTCGAAACACCTAAAATCAGACAGTATCAGATTGGTCAAATGGTTCGACCATCCAATAAGTTTGGTTGGACGGTTTGGGGTCCAAAAGTAGACCTAGAGCCATGACTAGTTCCTAGGTCAACTGGTTTGACCATTCAGTGTGATCCTATTTTAAAACCATGGGGGAAAGTCTGTCCCTAGGATATGACACCCCTGGTAACTTGTTTTGTTAAAATGAAAGGTGCACTTTTTAGATCTAAGGTGAATATGCTACACAAAATTTTGAATAAAATGAAGCAAAATTACTGAAACTTCCCTTTTACTGCTCAGCGGGCTAAACAGCCATCGCTTTCTGCTAAACCTTGCTCCCATTAGAGATCGTGACATGTATTAATTGAAGGCCGTCACATGACATTCACAAATTTTATAAATCCAAAAGTATCTTGTCATTGCAAATTTAGATGTATTGATTCCAGTTGATTGGCTAATGGAGAGAAGTTTATATTAGTTATCCAAAACCAAACCATTTGGTTCGGTTAAGCCGATTTTTCAGTTTTTGATGAATACCCTTAAATCCCTAATCCAAGGGCGAAAGCTACATTATATGTACTAAAAAAAAAGTAAGAAAACAAAGGAAATGTAAAATGAAAGAGAGAGGAATTGCATGGACAAAAAGAGAAAAAAAGGCATTTACCGAATTTTGGTACTTTGGGGATGGACTGGATTTAGACACAACATTGGCAGTTTCTGCACAAAAGTGGCTACTCTCACTGTTGTAACAAAATTGATTCAACCTTTGGCATTTTTTACATGAACCAATGGCCCCAGTAACAAAAAGGGAAAAATAGATACAATTTTTCTATATTTGTTTGTGGCTTCATTAATTATAGTATGCAAGAGATAGAAAGAAAGAGACGATTCCATGCAACAGCGTACAGTGTGGATCTTTATAAATTTTAGGGTTTTATGGTTGAGGGAGGAGAGTATGCACAAGGGATACCAGATAACACCCAGAGACGTATTACTCACTTATTATCTTCCCCTTAAAATAAATTATGTGGGAGCAGGTTTCCTAAGTTGGGTTATTTGGTAATATTCCTTAAAGGGACAAGGGATCTTATATACGGAAAATCAGTTTCTCTTCCCACCATAAATTTTGGGTCAAGACACTTTCCCAACTTTGAAAAATAAGCCTACTTAATAAGTTTTATATTGAAAAAAAAAGGAAACTTCCACAAACATTACAAAAAAAAAAAGAAAAATTAATAATGGTTTACACAATAACACCAACACAAGGTGGGGGCATATGACTGATATAGACTATGTGGTGAACCCTATAGGTCCCATATCTAGACAGTTTGGATCGGTTACAGGATCTTGAATGAAAGAAATGGATTCATGTAGTAATTCTCCCTATATGTAACTCTCTAGTGAACCTTTTTTAAACTTATTTTCAAATTTCAATTTGCTTTGGCAATTGTTTTTGTTTTCTTTAACAAAACCATACATGTTGGCAAAACACCCTCTATATTGATCGGTAGTAGTTATCCAGGGGTGAGCATGGGTCAAGTTTGGTTTGGTTTTAAGGCAGAACCTGGAACCTACTTTATGATGGTCTATTTCAGGTCTTTTGAACCAAAAGGTTCAAAATCTACCCTATCAACATTGGTTCTAGCCTTCGCGGTTTCAAGACCAGCTCTAAGGTCTACCTATGGAACCTCTTCTTTAAAAAAATTATAATATGCTGTTATTTTTTTTTTCTCTTTACAATCTTTGACCTTGGATAACAATTTATCATAAACATTCCACATTTCAGATCCATAATAGTCATTCAATCTCAAAGATACTAAAACGTAATCCATATACAACTTAAGTAATATCACATAATCATAATTAATCCATATACAACTTTCATGGTCGGCTCTAAGGTCTACCCATGGAACCTATTCTTTAAAAAAATTATAATATGCTGTTATTTTTTTCATATTTTTTTTACAAGTTTGACGTTGGACAACAGTTTATAATAAGCATTCTACATTTCAAATCGATATAGTCATTCAATCTCAAAGAAAATAAAACGTAATCCACATATACAGCTTAAGTAATATCACATAATCATTATTAATCCATAATCTATATTTCACACACATTCCACAATTTAGTTAAATCAATCTCAATGCAAATAGAATACAATCCATAATCATCCCAAGCAATACAACATAACTAATGCATAATAATCCATAAACCTATATGCTAAGTTCAAATTACATTTAGGCCGGTTATTTGGGTCGGTTCAGGTAGGTAAACCCCCAAACCCTGGAACCAGCCTAGGTGGGAATCAGTTCCAAGAATTTGGAACCGGACCCTATCCAATGCTAGTTCAAGGTTGGTTCCAAACTTCCGATCTGTTTTGGGTAGAACTGATCCATTTGCTCACACTTATAGTTATCTATAAGCTCTACAATCTCTCTCTCTCTCTCTCTCTCTATATATATATATATATGTTTTACATGATATACTAATATTTTTTTTTGAAGCCTAATCAGGCTAAATTCATTCAAAAAGTTCAGGATACTTCTTTCTCAATAGCAATAGCAAGAACATCAGGGATCCTCGCCCAGGTATGAACGAGAGAGAGAGAGAGAGAGAGTACTTTGCTACAAGATAGGCTGTTGTATTAGCAATTCTTGGTGTGTAAGCCACTAAACAGCAGGAGAGTGGGACATGTAAGCTCTGCAATCAGCTAAGATAGTTCTTACTCGCCATAGAGGATTTAGAAGTTCCTCCAACAAAACTTTGATCACCACAAGCATATCTCCCATGATCAAAATCTGATCAATACCTATCTCCAGTGCAAACTCCAAAGGTGTACCGCCCATCCATGATTCCTCAAGAGTAAGCCCACCCCTGAATTACTCATACCATTAACACCATCGAAACTGATCAGTTTCAACGAGTTGCATGGGGATTGTCCATCTAACTTCTTCTACATAGCAAGGAACTAGATCAATGCTGCCATTGATAGCTTATGGTGAACAAAATTTTCAATTTCCTCAATTTGTGTCTGAGCTCTAACAATGGTAGCTTGAATATTAACCTTTGCATGTTCCAAAGCAATAGGTGATAAAATGAGAGAAAGTAGAATAAGATGATTTGGTTATGTGCATACAAGACCACACCCATAGGAAGACAAAAAAAAAATTAAGGGGCTATAAGGGGTAGGGGTAGACAAAAAAAAAATACATGGGCTAAAGTAGTAAGTAATAGTTTAAGTGCTAATAATATAATGGACATGTCATTAAATGGAACATAATAGAGAAACATGAATCATGAAGGCAATCCCATATATATAGTTGGGATAAGGCTTGGATGATGATGATGATGATGACAATATAATATTAAAAGAACATAATAAATTATACTACATAAAATATATAAAATAATATAATGAGATAATATATTTGTATTATATATAATACTATAATATAGTAATATATAATATGCAATTATGCATATAATTCTATAAAAAATATATATTTTTAACAACAGTTAAATTAGAAAACTACATTCAAAACTTCATATTTACCAAACACGACTTTGGAGTTTTTCCAAAAAGTATGTATGGAAAATACTAATGAAAAACACATTAGTGAAACAACAACTTAGCAAACCACTAGAAAAAAAATATAGTGCAACCAAAAAACAATTAAAGTTGCCAACTGGCTTATCTAGTAAAGCTAGTGGATGTAGTTCTAATTGGCTTAGTGTCGAATCTTGCTTCGCCCTTCTCCCCCGACCTCTAGGTTTGCCTACAAAACAAAATTAATAAATGTATCATTAAGAGTAGAAGAATCTTAATTAATGCATTTAATGACTAAATAAGCGGTTTTGCTTTAACATTGTAATTCTCGTCAACCGGGGTGGTTTTTTAAGCTAGTTTGCAAAACCCTGAGTGTTTTCTTTAACCATAGAAATTGTATAAATAGGAAAATTTGAGACCGGTGAGTAGAAAGCATCAAGTAAACAAAAATTTTCTTTTTCTATACTAGGTTAGAGCTACAGAGAAAGTTGATCAATTTTAAGAAGGCGAAACCTCTCTCTTCTCTCTCTCGATCAAAGTTTTCACAATCGGAGAATTATAACAGGTAAAAGGCTATATTTTTTTTTCAAGTTTTAGCTTTGCTTTACTCTCCATCATTAGAAGTTTGCTTGCAAATATAGTTTGTTTCTCTTCCTTTTTTTGTACATATTATTATATATATATAGAAAGCGATTATCTTTTAATTTTTATTTTTACATAAATATCAATACAAAGAAATTCATTGGTTTTATTTTTGGTCCTTTAAGCTTTATATCCTATTTGATAGGTGAAAGGCTATATTTTTTCTCAAGTTATACTCTTAATCATTAGAAGTTTGCTTATTGCAAATATAGTTTGTTTCTCTTCCTTTTTAGTACATATTATTATTATATATAGAAAGCAATCATCTTTTAATAATTATTATTTTTACATAAATATCAATACAAAGAAAAATTCATTTTTTTTTTTGTTTTTGGGCCTTTGAGCTTTGTTTCTTAATTGATTTATACTTTTAGGCCCTTAGGATTTCCTATTAGTATATATTCATATATTGAAGTCCATCTTAGTTTTCTTTGGTAGGAAGGTCCATCATAGTCTACAATCTACATCAGAGCATAAAGCTCTAAATGATTCTTCTAAATATTATCATTAATCACTTGCCCATTAATGAAAAACTTTTGTATATTTTCAAGCTTTTCTTTTCTATGATAATAGATTTATTTTAATTATCTAGATTGAAGTGAGATAATTTTTCATGTAGATTGTTCTTGAATCTTATATTTCTTCATTTTTTCTAATTTAGGATGATTGTAAGATGAATTGATTAAATATATTTTTGGTTTGATTTTCTAGTTAATGAATATATCAACCTAGTAGCTCACTTTCTATAAAAGAAAATCCTTTTTCTAAGCTTTTCTTTTCCAAGCTTGTAGATGTTCTTCATTTTTAATGATTTAGGAGTTGATTTTGCATTTTTTGCTTTATTGCTTTATATTCTTTATCATTAAAAATTAATTTGATTTATAAGTCTTATTCATTTTTTTTCTCTTCTTTTCAATTAGTAATGATATTATAATTAGGTTTCCTTTTTTTTCTCATTCCTCTAAATGAATATTCTGGATTTATTTCAATAATCAACTAATAAAATTAGGTTTTGGTTATTACACAATAGATTTTATTGGTATATTTTACTTTTCTTTTTTCTTCATTATTTACTTTTGCATGGTAGTTTGAGATATCATATATTTATGGTAGATCCCTATTGAAAATAGACAAGAAGCTCCAATTTATAATGATAAAAATAAGTACATTCGGGTACTTTTGTTTCTAAAATAAATTACATTTACAATTATTAATTTCTGTGCTTTTAATGTCATTTCATGTTTATATTGATTCAGGTGATAGGTTTTATTGTTGCCTCATTTGTAATGACTGATGAAGATTGTAGTTATTGCATGCTGGAATTTTCTTTTCTTCCTTCTTCATTTTAATTAAACTTATTGATTATTTAGAGAATCTTTGTAAATATGTGTAATTTTGTTTCTTAAAATGAAATGAATTACTACATCAATAAAAACATATGGCAAACATCACCTTAGTGTGTTGCTGTTAGGATATATATGTGATTTTGGTGGGGAAGAAACACTACACTCAAACTAAGCTCAAAAAGAAAATGCAAGACAAGTTCTATTTGGGACTAGGGACATCAAGTTGAGTTGAATAGTAATCCCACCTTGACATGATCCTATTAGACCAGGGTCAGATCTAGCTTAATTGACTTTTGGGTTAAGTTCAAAGTTGAGGTCAGCCTACTTCAAACCTGGCACATTGATATAATTAATAGTATTGAAACATTAATTATAAACATAGCCCTCATTGACTCTTAGGATACTATTTGTAGGATAGATTGGTTAGTTTTGGACTGTTTGGTACCTTGTTGTATTTAGATAGATTGGGTTGGGTTCAAGTAGAGCAAAACCCATATTGAACTCAACTTGATAATATCCCATGTTAGAACAAGAATTTGATAATCTTAGCTTGGATTGGATTTAGGTGGCATTTGGTAAAATTGAACTTTGATCTCTAGTCAGAAAAAAACTTTTGGAAATAGTTTTGAGTCCTGACCTTCAAAAATTTGCTTCCATACTTTTCTATATATCTGAATGCAACGAAAAAAAAAAAAAAAATAAAGTCGTTTGGTAATATAAACATTACAAACACTAATAAATATCTATTTTACAATTTTGCTGCTATGGATGGATTTGTTTTGTTATTTTGCATTTGTTAGTATTGAGTATTATATATTTTATTTATTTTACATAATTATTAGTATTTAAATTAATTTTTAAAATTAATAATTCATTAAATATTTAATTAAAATTAACAAGTAAGTAAAATAAAAGCTATAACTAAAATTAGTAATATATATTATAAAAAGCACTTAAATTCAAAAGTTACATAAGATAAATTAAAAGTGAATTTAAATATAGAAATAATTAAAATAAAAAATTATTACCAGCTATTTAAATAATTTTAAAATTATTAATAAGCAAACTAAAAAATTAATAAATATTTAATGAAAATAAATTGTTTAGAAATAATAAATAGAGAAAATAATTGTTAAAATTATTAAATTTAATTTAAATATTGAAAAGGTTTTTAAATATAAAAAGAACGAAATTATAAATAGATTTAAATATTGAAATAATTAAAACTAAAAATAATTGAAAATTGTTTAAATAGTTTAATAAAAATTAAATTGATCTCAAATAATGTTAAAAATTATTAACATTTATAATTTTTAATTATAAATGTTTTGCATTTTATTTATTATATTTACTATACTTGTAGATGTTTTTTACCATTCTATTATTTTTTAGTTGTTATTTATGTGGATTTTTAAATATTTTAAACACTTTTAAATTTCTTTGTTTAGTAATTATTTTAGTTTTTTTTGTAACTTTCCATTTGTCTAACATTTTTACAATTATTTATTGTTTTTGATTAATTTTTATCTAAGTTATTGTTTTTTAAATTATATTTATGTAAATTTAGTATTTTTAAATGTTTATTTTTAATTTTAAATTGTTTAAACTTTTAAAACAATGGTTAGTATATTTTCATATAAATTATTTTAATATTAAAATTTGTTTTTATTTATTCAAAGTATAATGTATTTAAATACCTTTTTCATTATTTAATTTAAATAATTAATTGATTTTTCGTTATGTAAATATAGTTAAGTTTATTTATTTTTTAATTAATTGATTTTTAATATTATTAGCATTAGCAATGGAGGTATATGATAGAAAGGAAAGAATAGGTTTTTTTGGGTTAAAAGTTATAACAAGGGCAATATTGGTACTTTGATTGTTTAACAAGGGCATACATCATGTCCTAAAAAGTTTTCCGCTACCTTTAATCGTGTTTGAAGCTTGAAGGTAGTGGATTCATTGAGTAAACGGAGGTGAAAACAGATGTACAAATTGGCATCCAAATGTTTTACCAAACAACCCTCCAGGGGAGTTCGGATTTGCTCCTCACAGAGTGTGCCTCACACCATCCTCACAGCATATTGTAAGTGTGCAATGAGAATATCTCCCGTACATGATGTTATCATTCGTGGATAGATGTTTCCAATGCACAATGGGGATATAGAGCTGAAAAATCAAATGCAACTCTTTCAGGTTTTGGAGGGCCATTCTGCTACAAAACGACACCTTAGATATGCCGAGTAAGACTTTTCTTGGGGTCTGTTTTGGAGGGCTAATGCTTTGATTGAACTTCTCGTAAGAAGTTTTTAAAAGGAAAGCCTTTTTTCTAAACAATAACAAATATGGGCTTTCCAAATTTTTTCACAAAGCAAAAAGCTACCACTTGAAGCCCTCCCAAAGGAGCACTGCATTTGGCCAGGCCTCCGGCTTTTGTTGGCCTATGGTTTATTCAACCCACTCAAGTGTCAAGATTCACTTTAGCCCAAAATATGGGTCCTGTAACAGTGCTTAAGTTAGTGTGCTTGGTGATCAAATCCTTCTCCATATTGAATGCCTTTGCCACATGGACAAACTAATTTCATTTATCAAGTTGTGCACATAGTAAGGTAGTCCAGAAGTTTTTCTATCTGATGGACAAATGGATTCGCTATAAGCTCCCTGAACATACTTGTAGGAGAGGTCATCTAAAGAAGGGAAAGTGACCCGTTGAGTAAACTGTAGATGAAGATAGAAACTTGGATTTAGGGTTGTAAATATACGCCCATAATTAGGGAATTCGACTGTTTCCTCAAGGAGCATGGATTTTTCACTTGAATAGACCATTCATATAGATTAACTAGCCTAGAAATCAGCTTGAAATTTGATCTCAAATGGAATAGTGGACAAACTTATATTTAGAATTGTAAATCCTATCAAAAGTCTGATTTAGTGGAGATCTGACATAATTGAATCAAATTTGAATAATTTGAATAATAGTGATATGGCCTGATTTGATGGGATAAATATCTAAACCGATTATACATGAGATTACCTAAAATACCCTTTATTTCTCTCTAGTCTCTAATAAAATTATATTGCAGGTTGTTTCTTTATTTTATGAAGAGTATAATTGTATAACAATTACATTAGATCTAGTTCACATTCAAATGTTTCAATTAATTGGTAGATTTCGACTCATTGGTTCTTAATCATATTTGAATCTAGATATGACCTGATTTGTTTCTATAGACCCCTCCTTATATTAGAGACTCTTGAAAAACAAAAAAAAAATTAATGTAGCTAATTTTCTTTAGCCCCTTGTTATATGGGTCTCAGCTTAAGCTCTTATGTGAGGTCCTTGAATAGGATTCTATTCTCTAATACACCCCCTCACACGAAATTTGGTTTGAAGCGTGATCAAGTGTGCAAGCCCACCTATACAACTACTTGGTCAAACATGCTCTGATAGGCGATCGCTCAATTAGGTGAGGTACTTGAATAGGTTTTTATTCTCTAATGCATATCCCCGGTAATTTCTGATTTTTTCCTTTTATTTTCAGTACTTCAGTACTGAGTTAATGTTCAAAGATTGAAGATGATAGAAATACTGGTCCTATCTATACCGAGGTGGCATAACCTGAATTCATCTTCTGTACTTATAATCTTTTTGATTTCTAATTAAACAGCAGAAAGAAATAGAAATGGAGAGGCTTAGAAGAAATGAGTTGGGAATGGACCGTATCAGTAGCTTACCAGATTCAGTTCTAGTCCACATACTTTCTTTTCTGCCAACACATGAAGCTGTGAAGACCACCTTCATATCAAAGAAATGGAAATTCCTATGGACTCAAATTCCTGTTCTAGACCTCGATGAGTTCACCTTCTGTGATGAGCGGTCTATGGTTGAGCTGTATAATGCACTTGAAACGGGTAGATACTTTCTAAGTTCTATGAGGTTGGACAGACAAAGAAAGAGGTTTGCAGACTTTGTAGACCGAGCACTTCTGCACCATGATATCGAAAGTATACGCCAAATTCAGCTCTCATTTTGTTATCATGAGGATTACGAGTTTACTTCTCGTGTCGATCAGTGGATTAGATTCGCAATTGCAAGCAATGCCACTGCTCTAGAACTCAATTTTGCAAGTAGAAGTCCTTCTCGTGATCCACGGATTGAAGGGTGTTATGAATTGCCTCATTGTCCTCTACCTCAGTCCTTGAAGTTTCTGAGATTGAACTTCTGTGAATTTAGACCCTTAAGGCATGGGAGTTTTGATCATCTTGAGATTGTAGAACTACTGCAAGCAAAGTTACCGGATGGCTCAGTTCAGGACTTGATTTCTAACTGTCCATGCCTAGAAAGCCTACATTTATTGTCCTGTTGTGTGCCTCATCATTTAGTTATTTCTGCTCCAGAATCAGAACTTAAGTGCTTATTGTTGGATTCATGCTCTTCTTATGAGATGAATGGAATAGTTTACAAATATGAGATAGATGCTCCAAAGCTTCAACACTTTAAGTTTGTGGGAATGATGTTGCATGAATTTTCTGTAAAGAGATTAAGGCATCTAGTTGAGGCACATCTGGATGTCAGACAAAACTTTATCTCTCAGATGCATTGTTCAATGCTTACTGAACTTTTGAAGGATCTTGGTCATGCTAGTTGTCTATCCTTGTCTAGTTGGTGTTTGCAGGTATGTTATTACATCCTTAATTGATGGTTGCTTTATAATTTGTTTGGTTGACATGCTCTTGTGTTTTTGTAGGTAAGACTAATCTAAGACAAACTAGATTAATTGCCCTGAATACTATGATTTGATATGGAACTAAAGCCTATACTAGTGAACTATGTGCTCAATTAAGGTTTCCACTGTGAACTAATAAATGTAGATGTAAGTCTGAGGACCAAAATGATCAGAAAGCAGCGTTAGACAGACAAGGCCTATTAGGCAGGTTCCAAATATATGAAATAGTCTTTTAAGTCATAATGGAGCCCATTAACATGTTAGTGAGCCTAAAACATATAGCTTACACATATTAAAATTTTAGGCTGTGTTGGGTTGCGGTGCAAATTCATTTTCACTAGCATAAATGTGCGCATGAGAACATGAGTAGGGTGAGTGTAAATTCTGGTTTACTTTGCTTCATATTTGACCTTGCCTTGTTTGTTTGTAGAAAGTAGCGTTTGAAGTCAAATGGTGTGGTCACACCTTATCCTACAATCCCTGACATCACCAATCTTTGATATATCCCTCTATCTAAAAGAACTTTCCCTTCAATAGCACTCAACTTGTGGTTAGGGTCAATTGGAGGTTCTATAGGCTTATACCCTAATTTCCCAACATTATGGATCAAGTCAAGAACATACTTCCATTGTGAAAAAAAGATTCCCTTCTTGGATCTTGCAACTATAATGCCAAGAAAGTATTTGAGATCACCAAAATTCTTTTATCTCAAATTTTAAAGCAAGGAAGGATTTTAATTGAAAGATACTTGTGATGTCATCACTTGTCACAACAATGGTCTACCTAAGATTGAGAGAATCCAATTTTTAAGATAACTTTTCTATATCTATCAAACTAAGCTCTAGGGCACTACTTGAGCTCCTACAAAGACTTCTTTGGGTGGTAAACTTTCCCTTCACTATTAGGAAAGCTTAATTTAGGTGGTAAATTCATATATGCTTCTTATTGGAGGTCCTCATTAATAAAGACATTTTTCACATTCATCTAATATAAATGCCAAGAGTAGGGAGCAATAAAAGACATAAACACCCGAATTGAGTACATTTTAGCAACTGGAGCAAAGGTTCCGGATAGTCAATGCCATAGGTTTGAGTGTATCATTTGGCCACTAGTCGGACCTTGTATCTCTCAATTAAATCATATATCTTGTGCTTTATAGTGTACTCATACTTACACACGTAATAGAAATTTTATCATTGGGACAAGGAATAATCTCTCAAGTTTAGTTTTATGGGGGCCTCAATCTCTTGATTCATACCTTCCTTTTAGTGATGAGACTGCATTACCTTTATAATAGTATAAGGGATGGAAATAGAAAAAATGACAGAAATATAGGCACAACAGGAGGATGAAAGAGCATCATAAGACACATAATTAGTAATGTGATACTTGTTGCATGCCTTCTTTCCTTTTCAAATAGCAATAGGAAGATCAAAGTCAATATTAATAACAAAACTGTTAGGTGGTTCAAGATTACCAAGGTTTGAGAGATTAGAGTGTGATGGGCATTCAACTTCAAGAGTCACCCTCTTAATACACGTAATGAAGAATTACTATCAGGACTAAGGCTAGGGGTGTCAATTGGACTGGATTTGGTTCAATTTGATCCAATCCAATATGAGTCCATTACATATGGACTAGGTACAATCCAATCCAATGAATACTTTGGACCATTTTGGAATGGTCCAATTCAATGTCTAAACCATCCAATATGTTCAAATTGGTTTTTATTTAGATTGGTTCCAACACAAACTTGGTTTATTGGGGCTTGTATTCTTATCTTCTATCAATGGACCAAACATTGGTTTGATCAAACCCAACCAAAATCAATCCATTACAGATGGACCAGGTCCAATCCAATCCAATAAATACTTTGGAAAATTAAATCTAGATTGATCCAAATTGATGTCTTATTAGTTCGTCCAATCCATCCAAATTGATTTTGATTTGGATGGGGTCCAACCCAAAACCAATCCATTAACACCTAATACATAAGAGAAGGAGGAACATAGGGAATATCATTGTTACAAGGATGAGAGGAAGGAGAATGAGATACATGGACAGGAATAGGAAGACAGAAGGGAGTCTGATCTTCACTTGCATTCTCCCCCTAAAGAGAAGGATGGGATGATTGGAAAAATGAGGAAAACTCTAGAAATGTAACATTTTTATAAACTTATCTCTTTCTGGAGAGAGGATCAAAACATTTGTAACCTTTCTAGATTAAAGAGTAACTAAGGAATACACATTTGACTGATTTATGATCAAACTTTTGTTGGGAAGGATTTTGAACAAAACTAACATAACCAAAGATCTGAGGGGTAAGTTAAAGAGAGATTCATTAAGGAGGAGAATCTGGTGAGGAGACTGAAGGTTAAGGACCCTTGATGGAAATTGGTTAGTAAGATACACAATCGTCTTTATAGCATTTACCCCATAAATGGGTGGAAATATGAATTTGAAACAGTAAAACTTGAGCAACTTCAACCACATGTTTGTTTTTCCTCTCAGCAACTCCATTTTGTTGAGGAGTATGATTGCATGAACTCTAGTGAATAATTCTCTAATCTTCAAGAAACCTACTTTGCAAATTTCGGGTCTTCAGGTTTTGATTTCACCTCTTTTCTTGTAATGAATCCCAGTTTACCCTCCTTGTAATGGCAAGCTTAATAGTAGGAATGGCAACGGGGTGGGTTCAGGGAGATGATCATATTCCTCGTCCTCGACCTCAATTCTGAAATAAATCCCTGTCCTCGACCACAATCCTCTTTGGGGATAAAAATTATCCTCTATCCCCGATCCCCGACGAGGACGAGTTCCCTGCGAGGACCTGAATCCTTGAAATGTTTTAGTTAACAATATTTTTTGGAAAGTAAATTTAATTAAAATAAATAAAAATTTTTAAACATAAATAATATTTTGATATATACAAATAATATCATATATAATATATATGTATATATTTAATATGAATAATATTTAAGGTTGGGGATCCCTATTAATCCTTGTCCCCGTCCTTGCCCCACCAAAGCAATCCCATCCCCGAATGGGTCGACGAAGTCGGGTACCCATTGGGGTGGGGAAAATTGCCATCCCTACTTTACAGATTGGGACCACTCCAAAAAGTTGGTTCCATTGAGTTTAACAATGGTTATAATGCGAGTATAAATATCTACATTGTCCGAGAGCACACTTGAACCCATTTGTACATCCTTAGATGATTTCATATTTTAGCAAAACACTTTCCCATCAAACCAAAGGATCCCCAACCCTCAACCAAAGCTAAAAGACCTAAGAAAATAGGTTACCACACAGTTAAGGGAGACAAAAAGGCCAAAAAACTAAGTTGGCGACAATATAGAGGGAGAAAAAAATCTCCCAAAATCTTGTAGGTCTTAGAAAATTATAGGACCACTTCCCATCATTACTAAAATGTAAAATGACCCAAATATCTAGGTTTTGTAGCATAAAACTCCACTAAACATGCTATATAAGGCTCAACATCAAATCTAGAATTTTTGAAAATTTCCTTTCAAAAAATCCACAAAAATCACAAAATCATCAAACAACTATAATTAAACCAAACCAGGTAGGATTCATAGGCTTTCGTTGTCACTTGTACAAATTGTTGACATCATCCGACGGTGGTCTAACGTCAGCATGTCATCCTATGGGAGAAGATCAGTAGAAATGAATCTACCTAAGAGCTTCTATTTGCTATGAAACCCAGTAGTCAATCTAGGGTTTCTAGAGAGGAAGAAGAAGATACTATCTTATAACCTGATATTTAGAGATACTATCTTAGAACCCGATATTTATATTTTGAGGAAGAATTATAAGAAAGCCCTTAATTACTTGGGTGCCAAATATAAAATGATAAGGAAGACCAAAAACACCCTGCCCAAGCATTCTAAGTACTCATATGGATAATCTCTAGATGGTCAATTAGTAAAGTTATAATGAATATAGAATCCAAAGAAATACAAAGATTAATTGAAACTTGAAAAAAAAAAATTGCTGCGTTGTAGTGAGGCACATTAATTTATAGTTTTTTGGGTGTTATTTAATTATTATAAAGATGATGAACTTGTGAAGAAATTGTAGTGTTTTACTAAATTTCATTAAATTCAAATATTTAATAATTATAAATTTTATTTTCTTTTAACTTGTCTTTAGTTATTATAACAGAACTTGGATCATATGTTACTTTGTTATTACCTTTATTACTTAAATAAATGATAAGCCATTAAACATTGACATTTTGATGATCAAAATGTAAATTGATGATTTAGTGATAAATCTACATGAATCAAGAAATGAGCTTCCACAGAAAGAAGAGTTGAAAAGGATGAGATACATGTAAATCATTTGATAGAATCTTTACAAATGTATTTTCATGCTCTTACTAATGTTTTGTATTTGAAGGTCCTCTCATTCAAGGATGAGATACATGTAAATCATGAAATTGCGCTCTCCTCACTTCACAGGCTGAATAATCTAACAGTGCAGACAAGGCTTGACAGTTTCGATCTCCTTGGTCTAGCATGCTTGTTGAGGAGCTCTCCGAATTTGGAATTCCTTACCATAGATATTGACAACCATAAAGACCTGAATCTGGTATTGAAAACTGTGAATTTCTTTGATTCTGATTCCTCATTACTAGTCTCAGTTTTATAATTTTTAGTGTTGCTTTGCAGGAGTACTTGGATCATCCAATGCTTCCAAATGCTCGTCATTTTGATGAGATGTCCTTCTGGGAGAACCAATCATCACCCTTCCAATGCTTAGCTAAACTTGAGAAAGTCACCATTAATGACTTTTCAGGACAAGATAATGAAATGGGGTTGGTAAAATTTTTGCTCAAGAATTGTCTGGTTTTGAAGGAAATGTCTATTAGGTATGTGATATTCCAACCAGTGTCTACCATATCAGGAAGGGGAATAGACAGGGAACACTTGGAATTTTTACAAGCTCAACTAGATATTACTCAGGAGCTACTGACTTTCCCAAGGGTTTCTACTTGTGCTCAAGTTTTTTGCTCCTGAAGTTTTGTTAAACCATTATGGATATCTCTTTTAGTTACATTTTTCATATTATATTCTGTAATTAAACGTGTAGGAGGAATGTAATGTGAAACCTCCATATACCAAAAACCTACTTTCTTAATGGATCTAACTATCTTTGATTCTGGAATACATATGATGTTCTACAATTTAGCCTTTATTTTGATTTCCATTTGCTCCTACCATATTTGGGTGGTTCATCTAGCATGTCATGTTGTCTGGTTGGAGGTTCTATCTTTAGTCCATATTATACATAGAGAAGAAAAGGAACTCTAGAGATGTAAAACGGCCCAAGCCCATGCAGGCCTGTGCCATGCCGTGCCACGGGCCAGACTGGTCCATGGGTCGAGCCTTGGGTCTGGTTGGGCCATGGATCATGAAAGATTTATTTAAAAAAATTGAAAAAAAAGTCTTAAAATTTTTATTTTATATGAATTTTGATATATACAATAATTAAATAAAATAGTATAATAAAAATGAAAACAAATGTCTATTTTATTAATATATTATATACTATATATTATATATAATATACAATATATTATATATTATTTATATAAATATTATATATATAATATACATATATATGGGCCGTGCTAGCCCGTAGGTCATAGGTGGCACGGCCCGCACTGTCGTGTCATGCTAGCTCTAGCCCGGCCCGGCCCGTGGACCTGAAACCCCAAGCCCGACATGATCTATACAATCGTGTTGGGCTGTATGCATGGCCTGTGAATCATCGGGCCGGGCTGTGGGTTACAAGCCCAACACGGCCTCTAAGGAATTCTCTTTAAGATATTGATTTTGTATATTTTGCTTTTATGCATTTTAGCTTATGGTTAAGTTTGTGATAGGCTTTCGCTTGGTTGCTATGAATGAGATTTGATGTTCTTCATTTCTTTTCCTTACTTTGTAGCTAGTTAATTGTGGTAATTGATGATTTTTTGGGAAGATTGGACAGGATTTTGTTATCCATTTAATTTATACATTCTACCATCATTTTGGATCAATATTGTCTCACTAGCTAGGAATGTGGATCAATTAAAGTTATGTTTGGTTTGAAGGAAAAAGGTAGGGAAAGGAATGGAAAGACAAGACAATCAATACAAGGTTTGTAAAAGTTTCCCTACCGATACACGAATTAACAAAAAGTTTACTGTTTAGGTTTGCTTCAGTGGTTCAACTGGCAAGATTGAGCGATTTACCCACTTCAAGCCATTCAAGTGGTTGGTTGATGGCGTAGTTTAGTTTTGATGCATATCTCCAATCTAAGACTAAATGGACTATTCATTTGCTCTTGTCTTGATTAACTAGTTTGCCCAGTTGGCCTGGATAAGGCCTTATATATAGGTTTATACTGCTTAATACAACTGCTAAATCATCTTTAGTTGTTAACAAATCTCCTTTGGTCATTCAAATCCAATTGATTACTGGTAGTTATGAAAATTGTCCACTATTCTATGGATAGAAATGTTTTGGGCGAGTCCAGATCTCCTGCAATCAAAAACTCTACCCACATATAATAACTACACATTCAGAATATCTCCGGTACATGTATGTTAAATTCATAGAGAGATATTCTCGATGTGCATTGGATGTCATGCTTGCAGAGTGTGTGCAAAGTTTTTGACTGCACGCAAGAGATCTTGTTGCATTTTGGGTGGTTTTTGATTAGTGGTTCTAAAAAAGGGGTGATGTGGTTTCAAAACCAACCATACCTTTTTTTTTTTGAAATGATAATTCCTTTTATTTTCAACAAATTGTGCCATCATTTTATGTAAAAAAAAAGACCTGGAAATGAAACCGTTCTGGCCATCGATTTCTAGGTCGATGGTTTGACCATCCAATTTGAATAGACGGCCCATTCTAATAAAAAGTTAAAAAATAAAAAAATAATAAAAAAAAAATGACCGAAAACCGTTGAATGGGTCAACGGGTTGTTGATTGATTCAACGATTTTTTTGCTAGGGATCGGGTTTGGGTTAAAACAGAACCGGTTGCCTGTACTGTTCTCGGGCCGAACGATTTGAAAACCATGATTCTAGGAACACCATCAAGGAACTGTTCAACCTAGAAGCTCAAGTCTTAAGTGAGATCCTCAAATATGTTTTTATTCTTTAACATACCCCCTCACATTAAAGCCAATCAGCCATTAAACTTGAAGCATGGACAAATACAGATCTATCCTGCTATCCATACCTTGTGCTGAAATTTAATTAATCCTAATGAAGGTAAAGAGGATCGGACACTCAACCACTTTGTTAAATTGTCTCTAATAACATCTCAAGAAACCAGTTAACCTAAAAGCTTAAACTATTAAGTAAGGTCCAGTTTTTATTTTCTATCACTACTAAATATAACCTCATTGGCTGAGGATAGATGATGATATTCCATAAAAGAAACAAGATGGTGACAAGTAGACCTGTTCATGGGCCGGGCTCGGGCTGGGCTTTTAGTGTTCATTAACAAAAAAAATAATAGGCCCGAGCCCGAGCCCGACCAACGGGCCTAGAACTTGGGCCCGAGCTCGGCCCTGATAAAAAGCCCGAAGCCCGAAGCCCGATCTAATAAAAGAAAATCAAAATTTTCCCTATTCAAATAGATATTATCTATTTTAATTCAGATGTTTTTTTCCCCTATTTAAATGAACAATGGGCCTACAAGTGAATCGACAACCTTCTCAAATCAAAAAATTTATTCAAATGGACATCACATAGGGTTTTTACTTAGGTTTAATTATAGGTCAGGCCGGGTTTACTTAGGTTTAATTATAGGTCAGGCCGGGTTTACTTAGGTTTAACTATAGGTCGGGCCAGGTCGGGCTCGGGCCGGGCTATTTTGGCAAAGCCCGAACCCGGCTCGAATTTTATGCAGGCCAGGCTTTTTGACCCGAGGTTAAGCCCGCAGGCCATGAACAGGTCTAGTGACAACTGACAAGTTATTAGGCTAGTTTATAGACAAAACGCATACATGTGATATTGATTGTATATTAGGCAACACAGACACGGGAGCCGAAATCCAATACATGTGATATGTCCAAATTGCGGACATACATGCTTCATTCGGTCAACTTCTCCATTTGGAAAGTTAGACCATTGATGGTATTGGTACGACGAGTGTATGACTCATTTAACATGCTACTGGTTTTTCTTTTGTATTATTTTAGTTTTATTGATTTTTCTATGATAATGACATCATGAGTCGATTTATTATTTTAACTCAAATTCTATTATAATTTTTTCAGTTTATTTTTTATTTTATATATAATTGTAATATCTTATTCATTAAATTCAAATGAAATAAAATTTTTGAAAATTTAGTTTCATTTTATGGAGAAATACGAACAGGCCCAATGCAAATCTCTGAATTCCACTGCAGATTTATAAACGTTCAAAATGTCAAAAGCCCCCACTCTATATATCAATGCCTGCCTATGAATTAACATCAATTTCGAACTGACACCCACGCCAACCACCGTACTTTGGGCCTAAAAATTCTGACCTTAAGCTAAATCGTCATCCTCCCTTTATTTTATTGTCTATTTTGTATTTATTAAATGTTTTTTTGTTAACTTTTTATTTTTACAGTTTTTTATCACTCTTACTTATAAAAAAAAAAGAAAAAAAAACCTAATCTGACTCAGCCCAGGCCATGGCCTGGCACAGCATGAGCCCGCTCGATCGGACTCATGCTGTGCCGTGCTGGAGACCTGACCTTTGACTCTTTGAAGGGTTTCGGCAGTGGGCCCTGTGTGACCTACATTTTACCTTTTCATGGCAAAAAGAAAGTGGGCCCGGCAAGCAAACTACTAGAGCTTAGCTATTTTGTCTCTAAAAAGGGTATTAGCCTTCAAAATTAGCCACATGTCCTAATTCCCCGTATGTATCATATATACTATTACTTTGAACCTTGGTCTAATCAATTGCAACTTTTGGGTTTAATATAATAAAAGTAATATATTTAAAAAATTTTAAAAATATATTAAATTTTTAAAAATAATATCAATAAAGGGTAAAAATACTGTTCATCTTCTTCTGTTTGCCATTTGTTCACCAGAACTGCCGTCCGCTGCTGCCGACCACCATTTGCCATCGCCCACTACCACCTGCCACTGCCAACCGCAGCCGCCTGCCGCTGCCTCCGCCCACCTCTGCCCTTGCCTTCGGCAATGTTACTAGAGGTGGCCAAAGGCAGAGGTGGCGGTGGCAATGCTGGTGGTTTCTCTGTCCAATGCCGCCACCTCCACCCACCTTTGCCTCTGCCTTCGACAACGTTGCTGGAGATGGATGGAGACAGAGGTGGCGGCAAAGGTGGGTAGAGGAATGACCACCGGTGCTGTCGCTGCCACCTCTGCCTCCGACCACCTTTGGCAACGTTACCGGAGGCGGAGGTGGGTAGAGGTGGCAGTGGGCGATAGCGAACGGCGATGGCGGTTGGCGGTGGACGGCAGCTCTGGTGAAGAAATGGCAAGAAAAAGAAGATGAATAATATTTTTACCCCATTTAGGATCAAAATTTTGTCACGTATTAATCGATACATATCATATTGGAGCCTTCCTGATATATCTCTACATAAATGGTTTAGATGATAGACTAGTTTTAAATCGGCCCATGAACCAGTTTAAAAAATAATAATAAAAAAACATAAAAAACATCTATCCCACCTAATCTGATTTTTTAATATAAAAAATAAATCCTACTACGATTGTAACCTTCCCACCCCGGAGCCGGGGCGCGCCCCTCCCTCCCCCACCAGGCGCMCCACCCACCACCACCACCACCACACTGCCACACACACCTTCCATTTGGTTTGGACTTTGGTGTACGGTGTACCAAACTACTCTGGAACTGGAAGTGAGGTGTGGGCCAGAGCCGAGATGATCAGAGCCGTTAAAAATATACGTCTTTTGTCCCTAGCGGCTAGCGCTGGATTTTCTGTTATTTCGACCCAGCCGTCCAGGTTGCTGGGTCAACTGGTGGTAGACC